TTGGACTTTGTTCTGTTTGCATCTATATTTACCGATTCTCATCGCCTCAGCATATGGAGTGCTGAAATCACTGGCTCTTTACTGCTGTTGCTTCTGCACACGAGGCAAATAAAGAAAGAAAATGTCACTGCGAAACTGACTCAGTTATATAAAAATGAATGATAATGCTCAGAGCATGAAAGGTTTATTTGCATGTTTTAAATCAAGAATGTTACTAAAAACTATCTGAAAACACAACTTGAACACCTGCTGATGAAGCTTTAGAGTACTTTCTTTTGGCATCCTTTTCAATAGTTGTTTTTTAAAATTAGATGTATTTAAATAATCTTAAATTCAGAATTAGCTGCATAAATGAGTTGGGAGGCAGACAGGTAGGCAGAGAAAGCAAACTGAAAATCAGCAAATAAAATTTCCTCGTTGCTGTTTGAGGCCTTGTCACAACGTTCATTTGTGCCATCGTTTGCATCATGTACCAACAGTAGTTTTTATTTCAGTCGCAGAGTGTGCCTGCTTGCTCACATTTACTGAAATGTGGGTGAAAATTGATTAAGTCAGTTTGGAAATGTGGAAAACCCAAATCACAGTATGTTCTTTATTTTTACTTTTGCTGGAAAACAAAAGTTAAAAAGAGAAAAAACATCCAGTTTTTACATCCAGTATTCCCAGTGCTGCAGCTTCTTTCTCTGCTCACATTGATAGCAATGTGAAAAATGTCACAAAATGTTCAGCATTTCTGGAGAAATATGGCATTTCTTTGAGAATACCTTGTTTCCTGAGAAACTTCATTTTTTTCTGAAAAACGTCCCACTACTTGGTTTAGTTGTTAAATCCAGTAAATTTATTGAACCTAAATCATTATTTCTTATCAATATTCTGCAATCAGCAGTGCACTGGAACATTTAAAGACAAATATAAAATGATGTGACTTTGGCTTTCACTCTGAAGTGAATAAAGCTCCTTAATCTGGCAGATTTTAACTGCACAGCATTCTGGGGAATGTAGGCAGATGAAAGACTTTATCTGCTCCGCTTTTCACTTGTCTACTAAGCAACTAATTCACTCACTCTTTGGTTTGCTAGTAATCTTGTTTTTTTTGTTTGTTTGTTTTTTTGTTTTTTGTCTATGTGCCTAAAAAGCACAATTTTTGTCTGAACATCCATCTTTCATTTGAATCTGAAATGGCTCCTAGAGATTTTCCCCTATCATGTAAATCTACATTTCCCCTTCTTACTCATTTGTTGAACTTTTCCATTTAGTTATTTGTTGAGAAAAGGTTTATACAATGAGATTAGCCAAAAGCAGAAATATGGTTTCTATTCTGGCAAAGAAGCTGGACTCAATCCCAAATGACAAGCTAATAGCCTTGTCTTTGTACCACAGTCAGGGCCCTTCAGCACTAAATAATAAAAAAAGATTTAAGTGAATATATTACATTTGCATGTGTCAGTATTAGCATAATATTGTATAACATAATTAAGATAGTCAGACATTCAGTTCAGAAAAATTTATTTTTTGGTAACATAATAAAGAAATACTGAAATAAGAACTTAGAAATGAATGAGATTCAGGCCCAAATGACCTGAGCTGTAAAATGAATCAGAGATAATCAGAGATGGACAAGAGGCTGAGTACAGGACAGCTTTGTGTCAGGAGGAATCGGGTGAAGGATCAAACCCTATTTCCATCATGGGAGAAGAAGAGGAGGTGGTTCAGGAATATAAATACATGTGTGTTCATCTGGACAACAGACTGGACTGGAGATGCAACAGTGAAGCGTCTGAAAGAAGAGACAGAGGAGACTGAAGGAGCCTAAGATCCTTCAATTTTGCACCGAGATGCTGCAGATCTTCTATAAGTCTGTTGTTTAGTTTAGTCTCTTCATCTGTCATCTGTTGGGGCAGCTGCATGAGAGCCGGGGACCGAAAAGGCCCAACAGCCTGATAAAGAAGACTGGTTTTGTTCTGGTTCTGTCCTGGGGACGACTGTGGAACCTCTGGAGATGATGCTACAAAGAATAATTCTTCATAAAATTAAAAAAATTATAAACTATCCTGACCATCCTTTTCATGAGACTCTCTCAGGAAAACAGTGTCTTCAGTCAGAGACTTCTTCAGATTCACTGCAACACGGACTGCTACAGGAGATCTTTCCTGCCAACAGCCATCACCGTACAATAACTCTTTGAAGAATCTGAATTAATATGATCTACAATGTCATTTAATTTCCCTTTGGGATCATTAAAGTATTTTTGAATGTGATTTTTAAAATCTCAACAGAATGGTTCTTTAACAAGAGAACTCATAATAAATCTTTATTGTGAAACAAATGACAGTAACGAGTTTGACTGTATGTGAAGTTCGCTCTTTGCAGCCGTTCTGGGTGGCGAGAGGAAATGGCTTCATGTCATCTCCTGGCTGGTGCTTTGGAAAACGTTTGCTAAATCCATTCCCTGTGCGTACGTGTGTTGGCAGGGCACGGCTCGAAGCTTTCTCCGACAACAGCGGGAAGCTGCAACTCTCTCTGCAGCCACTAGCTATGACACCCTATCGGAGCGCAGCACCAGAGAGAGTTCCACCAGGTAAAGTGCACAGTAGTACCTTTTTAATGCATTCACAGGATAGACTATTTGTTACTCTGTCAAAGCTAAAAGCAGGAAAAATGTGTGACAGAAGTGACAAGAAGTGACCTTTTTTAGATTCTTGCATTTGGATGCGTATAGGAGGAATATGGAAAAAAGATTAATGACAAATCTATATGCTATTTTCCATCTGAGAATAAGGTCAGACTGCTTTTTGGTAACTTTAGAAAACTTTTCTTTCATGTGACAGTCTGTTTCAAAATTCAACAAAACATCTGAGCTTTCATTTTTTTAGCAGGTTTGTTATCGACAACCACAAAGTATGCTTTGAGTTTAGAGATACGTTTCTGGCAGCTTGTGCAAATATCAAAGATATTGATTAGTTCCTTTAATGTCCAGTTCAATCACTACTAGGTAGATGGCTGAAACGTTTTTCCTGCCTTCAGTTGACAGTGATATCAATGATCAACTTGGCTCTGTTAGAGAGATATTAGGTAAAAGTTATTGTGTACTGAACTAAAGGTCCCTTTAGAAATTAGCATCTGTCAATAATTTTTCTTTAGAAAATCATTTACATTTAATTGCTTTTCATTATTAATACACAAACCCCCATACACACAACACATAAAAACAAACATTTTTTTTCTAAATGTTATTTAGACACACCGTGTGCTGTTTCATTGTTATGAGAAAGACAAATGAGTATTAAGTACAGAATTTCTTAAAGGATTTAGCACAAGTCCTGAAAAAAATTACTGAATATCTTTGTAGATACAGAGACAAAAAGCAGATAAATCGTGTAATGTTGAACTGTTTTCATTTGTCTTTTAACATATATGAATGGTTATGTGCTTAAGGTTCATCATGAACTTTTATCTATATTCAAATGTCCAATAAGAGCAATGATTGTCATCCTTATGCCTTTGTTTACAAATAATAGTTCACTTGCAAAAAGGTTCAATATGGAAGCATCCAGCACAAAATGGAAAAAAATCTTTGCAGTTTTATTAAGGATGCAGATAAATTTATGTTTTTATCCCAAACTGTGACCTGAAGAAACTGAGTTACTGTCATATTTTTGTTAAGCATCCCACTGACTCAAAGGTAAAGGTTTATTAACACTAAGCAGAACAAGGATTATGTATTGTTTCTTTGGCTGTAGTGTGTTTGCTAAGCTTTTTTTAGCGCGGTTGAATGGACGAGATCAGCAGCAGTTTCTGTGTTTTATTATTGTCTGTTGGCCGTTAGGGAAAGTCTTTAAGTGTTGTTGACAAAAATGACAGCTCCGCCTGTCAGATAATTGCTCTACGGCTCAATGAGCTGGCCTTTAAATCTCTTTGAGCCTGACAAACTCAAAGACAAACACCTTATGGATCAGTTTGTTTGTCTGGCCAATAGATAAATTCACCACAGATACAAAGATCATAGTTTAGGATGGATTACTGCTTGTTAAAATATTCTGCAGAATCTCAGGCTTCTGGATGGGTTCATGTGAGTTTCTGCCTCTTTCTGTGCTCAGTTGTGTGTACACTCTTATGTGGTTTATTGTTTTTGTTCAGCTGAATGTTTTATAGCTGAATACTTTAGACATTTAAAAGGCTGCTTAGAATAGATTTCACACCACCTGGCTGTGAGCAGCTGCTGCCTGTAGGAACTCCAATTAAAGTCTCAAATAAACATTTACTTTACTTTCCAGCCAGAACATGACAAAATAAAAAGCTGGACTGTTTCTGCTATTAGAGAAGTTAAAATAAATTTCCAAACATACAGGAAAAATCACTGTTGGTGAGTTTTTCTTTTCTTTTAAAGGGTTTGTTGCCTGTATCTATTTGTAGTAAAAGGACAGAGACAAGAGGAAGGACATGCAGTAAATAGTCCAGGGTCAAGAACTGAATCCAGGACAGCTGTGTCAAGAAGAACAACAACCTCCATATGTGGTGTGTGTGCTCTGCCACAGAGCCGCATGCTGGCCTCTGTAAAGGTCAAATGAGAACAAGAAAGTTTGATTTCTTCGAAGCACAATAAAAAGCTGTGGGTGACATCAAACATTTTGTATGTGTAACAGGTTTTTTTTTTTTTTTTGCAACATTATAGGTGTGGAGTTTGTAAATTAGTTTCTATATTCTTCAAGTGATTAACTTTGGATTTTATTATCAGCAATATTACAGGTGTGAAGTTTGGAAATTCAAATTCAAAAATACTTTATTAATCTCAAAGCAAAATTATTTAATAAATAAATGTTAATGTAAATTTATCAATAATAAATAAATAAGTAAATAACTGTTTTTTTTATCTTTAAATTAATTTGTTTTAGTTAAAAAAGTTAAATCTCCTTGCATTGATTGGTTTAAACCAATTGTCCGTGACGTCACGCTCCCCAAAACTCCGCCCACGCCGCCATAATTAATGGACGTCAAAACAACCAACCAGTCGTCTAATATCGCTTTTATTTTATGGCTTTCGCAGTAAAAATGTATATAGAGTGCTGCACTCTCGGCTGCACAAACAGACAAGGATGCAAACCAAACTTGTCATTTTTATTCATAACTTTTAATGAGGAAAGATGGCGGCGGCGATGGACAGGAGCAGTCAATCGTGATGACTGGCAGTCCTCGGAGTAACCGCGGTTTTGGAGCGAACGCGTTTTACATGGTAAGAATATTTAGGTTCATATACTTTATAAATAACTATTATTAGAAAGATATAAAATATTGCTCTTCGGAGAAGGTCCGTATCTCTATTAACAACCATGGAAACAGTGCTCCACCGTCATGTAGCCTAGCATGTTTTGAAAAAACTGGCTAGCATCTCGTCTTTTGTACGTTTGAATGTTGCTTTAAGTTGCTTCAGGTTTAAGGGAAACGCTGTTTATGACATATTGACATAAATCATGTGGCGTGAATTCAGGCAAAGTCACTAATTTGATCAACACTTCAGGAGGGAGGAGGCATGGGTCGGTTTCTAAGCCATTTCCAACTTTTATGCGGTTTATGAGCCCCAAACCAGGTGCGTTACGTTCACAGATAAATTAGCTTCACTAACAAGCGACTAACAATGACAGTTATCTTCTCCCCTTTTTTTAGTATTACGTATTAATACATACTTTAGAGACATTTAATTATATAATGGTTTCATTTGTAATTTTGCCCTTTTTTGTGTGCATGTTTTATTAAAATTGTTGTCATGTTGTCCAACTAAACTGAGCTAACAAATGACCATCATTAAGAATCTTTTTCTTTAAAAAAAGAAAAAAACTACACCAGTAGTTGTAGTTTTCTCTTCTTGGTCCACCTGAGGCTTGTTCATAGAAATGTTATTTCTATATTGAACCTTTTGTTTACATGTAGACTGCCTTCTTTATTGCGTTTTGTTGATTTTGTTGGTAGAAATCTGTTTAAATAACAATCTACAGATGGTTTGTTGGACGAAAGGCCAACCATGACTTCTCAGGAGAATCGCTGGAACAAATCATCTCGTACTCCAGATTTATTAAAACACCTGTAGGAAGTACGCTAGTTATTCTCATTAAATGATATTCACACTGACCATATGTGCATTCGGATGCTGGGCTCTTTCACAAAGCAATCCATCATGATGATGGAAAACTTCTGGAAAATGTCAGTTATTCTTGCATACAAAAAGCTTTCACATACGGTGATGAAACCCACTGGTGGGACAGCTGCAGGAGTCCCAAGATGTTTTCCAGGGATTAAAATCTCTCCTTGGAAATAATTTCAATTGACAGGTTGTATAGAGCTGTGTGCTCTGTGGACAGGGAGGGTAATAAACTTGTTACAGAAACATGCGTCTGCACACAGCAAGCAGAAACTCAGACACATGGACCAGAAAATAAATAATCAGAAACTATGCTAATTGTTTTGTTTAAACTAAAAGTCTCACCTGATTTCCTTAAGTTGTTCTTTCACCTCAACTAGTTCATAAACAAACAATGAATATTAAAGCATGAATACACAGAAGTTGCATTTCAATTAACAATAAAATTAAGTAAACTGAAATCGAAATAAATTCACTTAAGAGACATACAACAGTTTAGGGGAAAAAAACATTTTCGCGCTAGGATTAGGTGATTTTTCAACCATATCTAAAGACTTTTCACATCACAGGAGTCACGTGATCAACATCCGGATGTTACTACTGGTGAAAACGACAAAGAAGACAACAGGAGGTAGCAGTAGGATGATGATTTGTTTTTGTTTTTATTGGAAAATGTGCAATCTAGCTCCACTGGAGCTTTCAGCAACACACAGTTTATAAAAAGTTGTGTCATTCCAACATGTTGAATCCAGCTCTTCTGCAAAATTTCCCCAAAACACCAGATACGATTCTTAATGACTTTTCGCTGGAGCAAGCTTATTCACATAATTTTAATTCTCTTTCTTATGTAATGGAAACACTCCAATTTCCAAATTGTGTGTGCTTTTCTTTTCTTTTTTTTCTTTTTTTTTTACTTTAGCAGAATATTAGCAAAGTTTGTGCACATTTGTAATGGAAATGCAGCTCCATCCAGGTTAAAACAAATTCTTCTTTTCCCAGAGCATCTCCGCCATCTCTGTAGATTTTTGCGGTGTCATGTCTGAAGTTAATCCGTACTGACAAGAAAAGACATGTAGCTTCTGTTTCACCTCCTGTAAACTTCAGCCAGAGCTGCTCTGTTGCTGAATCAGCCTTTCAATTAGAAGGACAGCAGGACCAGCTAACAACAGAAATCTACACTCCACATTTATGCTGCAGCACCATACACTCTAGTTCATGTGTTCAAAGCAGACATGCAATATTAAAGCAAAATAAAGAGGAAATTAATTAGTATTGAGATCTTGTGAACATTGAGTTCATTCTATTCAGAATATTCGGTTTCTAATCTAAAAGATGTCATGACATGGCAGCAGTATGAGCAGGTCGACACTCACTATGATCTATTCAACACTGAGATAAAATTAAAATGTAATGTTTAAATGAGAAGCACAGCTTGTTCTTCACTAATATATTACATACCTCACTGTGACCCTTCAGATGCATAAATAAATAACAGTGCAAATACAAACCAAATCCCATCAGCTTTGCATACTGTACATCTGTGATCTAAAATTTAATAGATTCCATAAAATGTTAAATAACCAGGTGGAATTTAAATGGTCTGGATTCTGTTATGCTTATGGATTAAAAAAAATAAATTGAAATTTAAATCTGAAAGGAGATGCAGACAAACATTTTGGTGCGATCCACAAAAATACCAAAGTCAAAGCCACTAGATTCAAAATATTAAATTCTGAGTTTATGTGACAGATTAATAAAAGGGAAATAAGAAGAATACGTTTTTAATGCTAACGAAGCGCTTTACTAATTCAATAAACTGAATAGTGTGTGTGATACATCCAGTTTCATACATTGAGAGTTGTTTGTTATTATGTATAGAAGATGTTTAAAATGTCGTTTGAAAGAGCTCTGAGAAAATGCTAAGTATCTTTTTACCGATCCATTGGGGTTGTAATATTTAGTTGCAGCACTTCCTGTGATTAATACCTAATTAATGGATGGGATTCAGTCTGTGCTATTGTTCTAAAGTGCTGAAAGTTAACTGTGCTCTGTTAATGTGCATTGCCCTTGGTTTATTACTGAACAGTGCGGTTTATTAAACTGATACATCTTAACCTTCACCATTTTCCTGACTCATTTCACGATAACGTTAAAGTTGCACTGCATTTACATCTCAGTTGTAGTTAACATCAAGCATGTGGGTGTGGCTTAGTGTAAAACTTTCACTATTTACCATGAAACATCAACATTAAATGACTTCCAAATGCAAGATCACAGCTGCATCACACTTCCTCTGTCTTTCTAGAGAACAGCCCTGAACACATTTCCATGGTCACTTGATGACCTCACTGTAGCCCCGCCCACTTTTAAGAGGCAGTCACATGTTTTTTCTGCTGTATGTTTTACTGTTATTCTATAATTTATATGGGCTTCATCATGTGAATACTGACTAAAAATGATAACATGATGAACTCTATGAATGCTGGCTGCTGACCGAACCGCATTGGGGTGTAGAAATGACAAAATGCATTACTTCGCCACGTGCATATGATCGGCTCTAAATGACACGTGGATCATCGGACTGGCGCCAAATTGAAAACGTATGACCTTTGTTGACCTCTAAAGAGCAAAACAGCATTGAAATGTATTTTGACTCCACTGCGCCCCTACATTGATCCGCCAGCTGTATTTCCTCGCTAAACCAATGAATCTATACCACATTTTTTTGCATCTTGAAGGATAGCCGCCGAACGCATAGATGCGTACCGCCTGGAGGACGGGCGCGGAAACTGCGCAACAACTTCTGTCTTAGCACGTGCGCAGCGTTGATGGAAACTGAGCAACTGCTTCCGCGGTGCGGGCGGAGGCGCTGAAAACTGCGTGAGAGCTTCTGTGGTGGCTGGCGTGAGGCGGCGGTTGCTAGTACCCCGCGGTGGCAATAGGCCGGAGCGGCGCTTGGCTGCGAGGGCCGTTCGAGGCTGCTTGCAGCTTTAATTAATTTTTATTTTTTTTACCCCTAAAAATCTCAAATGTGTGGCATGAAGCTTTACCTAGTGCAGCTACAATCATAAATATTTTTGTTTTCATCTCTACCAGCTCTTCACATGTAGAGACTGGAACATTTGCCTATTTCTTTCATAAACATATCTTAGTTAGACTTAATGGAGAGTGCCTGTGCAACAGATTTCCAGTTTGATTTAGGTTTAGACTTTTAATCTAACACATTAAAGTGCTCTGAGCTAAACTGGTTCATTATAGTTTTGGTTGTATATCTAGATTTGTTATAGTTGAACCTCTAACTTGTATTTTGATCACCTATGAAAAGCATCCCCACAGCAGTATGCTACCACTACCCTGTTTTACTGTAGGTATTGTTTTGCGGGTGAATATAACTTTAGTTTTCTGCTAAACTTGGAGCTTTGTTGTCCTCAGGAACACATGCTTTCTCATGTTTGTGTCCTCTTTATGGTGATAGACTTCAAATGAACACTTAGTATTTTTCAACATTTCCAACTTTGTTGGACTTTCACGCCACACTGAAAAGTGTTTGAAAAATGAAAATTATGCAACATGTTAGTTCCCCTTCATAATTTTGCAGTATTTCCAATCAGTCCCAATAAAATATATTAAAGTTTGATGTTGTAAATACACCATGTTCCAAATTATTATGCAAATTGGATTTAAGTGTCATAAAGACACTAGTTTTTGTTGTGCTATTAAATTTATAGATGGCATTGTGTGGTCAGGACTCTTTGAATCACTCTAGTTCATTTCAGAGAGCTGGGTTGATTAGTTTGTCTGGTGAGCTCAATTAAAGGACATCTACTTAAGGATGTTCCACATTATTAAGCAGGTCACAGATTTCCAGAAAGATAAAGGATAAAGGTTTTCTGCTGACGAAAATCATTGGATAATGTATGACAAAGTATGACATTAGATATTTAACAAAAACTGAAGTGTTATTGTACTGCGAAGAGATTTGTGGCTGATTCAAAACAAAGATGGGTTTGTACAGATAAATGTAAATACTTTTTTCATGGGGAGCTTTGTTCAGTAAAATTTCATTTATACTGCAATGGTTCATGACTTGAAAATTATACTGACCATCATTTGCATTGACCATTTAAGAAAATCAGAGAAAATATCATTTGCATGATAATTTGGAACACTATGTAAATGTGAAGAATTGAAGGCATTTTGTGGGTTTATAAGATGCTGCATTAAAAAATAAATAAAAATGAGATTGAATGACTGCAGAAAATAACAATTTTACAATATTAGCATGATGGTAAATGTATCCTTTGCCTACATTGTTGGACTGATTATTTAGATAAGCTGTGGTAAACCAGCCAGAGACAGATTTCTCCATCAACTAAAGCCAAAGAACAGAATTATGACCTTTATTTTGATTGCAGCATGTAAAACCAAAATCAGTCATCCTTTTCCTGTTCCAGAATTAACATGGCGGATGTTTGTTACCTCTCCAAAAAACTAATTAACCCAAGAACTCTGTCTTCCAAACGAGTTGGTGTATCTCCGGTGGTTTGTCTGGTTTGAGCTGCTTCTTGCTCTGGGGAATGTTGCTGTCCTGTTTGGTGTTTGATGCCTCTTGGCCTCATCTCTGCTGAGTGTCAGCTCCATCATGTCACTGTGATGACTGTCACAGACATCCTCACTGCCAACTTGGCTGCAAAGGCAGCAGTGTCAAAAAGTTTGCAGTTTTACAAACCTTTGATGCACTTGCCTTGAGTGCGTTTTCATTTTTTTTGTCCTCTGCTTGTTGGCACCGCCTTTATGTTCTGTCACTTTGTGTTTTTCTTTGTGTTAATCATCTCATGGTTGGCGTGTCCTGCATTTTCTGAGACGAGTCGTTGGGAAGAAGATTGTTTTGGCAGCTTTTCCCCTCACTTTCTGTCCTGTCCTTGTACCTAGACATGACATGTTGTGTGTTCTTAAAAATAAGAATACATGAAGTGGACTACCAGTTGGTTTGGGTTAAAAATAACTGCATAAAGCCAGGTATCTAAAAAGTATTTGGTTTTTTCATAAAAGTTTTTGTACTTGCATGAGGTACTTTTTAATATATTTCACAAAATTGCAATGGAAACTTGTTTTTCACATCACACAAGTCATGTGATCAACGATCACATGTTATAAGAAAAGAAAACAACAGGAAGTGATTGAAGGACGAATTGGAGGCTGCATGTTTTTTAACGACTTATCTTGTGAACAAACTTATTAATGTGTGATTTTAATTCTTATTTAACCCTTTCATGCATAGTGTGTTCACTGCAGTTCACTTTGTTGTGTTTCTTGTGTATTCTATGTTATAAATGCACAGAGACCAAAATACGCTGCCAACTACTGGCCATCTACTGCAAGTGCAAGAACAATTTTGTTAAATCCATTATGGCAGGCAAACGAAAAAGCAACTCTGGAATATCCAGTCCCTCCTTCTACTCTTGCTTGTGAAAAAATATATTGTGACATCAATTAACCCCTTAAGACTGACGCTACGGATGTATTTTCCAAATAACAACTTTGTGTTTGGAGAAAATTACAACTGATCACCTTGGAAAAAAATCCAAGAAACAATCACTTTTTTATGCCTCAAGAAAATCAAAAGCACTTTGGAAAACAAATTCTGACACACAGGATCACAACTCATGCAGGAAAGGGCTAATAGAAATAGAAATTGTTTTTTGACATTAGAAGAATATCTGCAGACTTTTGCACATATTTGTAATGGAAATGCAACTTTTTTTAGTTTGTCCCCTTTCTTGTTTGATATGTTCAAGATGTGCAGATTTTTTTAACAAAATTAGGGAATGTTTAACATTCATTATTTGTGAGATCTACACGTAATATGCATTGATTATTAAGTGATTGTATTCAAAGTTAATACTTTTAACTCAAATCTGCAGACTGTTATTATAGAAATGCAGGAAAAATGTAAAAATTTGAGTCTAAAATGTGAGATTTTGTGAATAAACCCACAAATTCACTACATGGAGTGCTGCTGAACGCCACCATTTTTCCCCTCCTTTATCTTCCTCTCTCTCTCTCTCTTCCTCTCCTTCTCTCTTCTCTGTCCCATTTTCATTTCAGCTCTCGTATATAATCTGTGATGCCTCTGCTCCCTGAGTGTCTGGTCGCACTAAAACTTTTCCAACAAAGCAACGAGGGAAATTGCCTCCCAGTTTTCTACGGAGAATTAAACCTTTTTAAGAAATGTGAATTATTGATCGTAAGTGGATTTATTCTCCAGTCACTGTGTGAGTCTGCGCTGTGCTGCACTTCGTTTCTGTGCCAGCACATGTGCAACAGTATTAGTTTGTGAGGATGTTTACGCTGCGTGTTTTGGGGGCTTTGGAAAGAGGGGAATGTCGTCGAGTGTGACGTGTGTGTGTGTGTCAGGGTGTTGGGATGAGAGAGCGTTCCTGCTGTGGAGGAGTTTCAGCTGCACGATATTTTCTGCCTCGTGTAAAGTAGGAAAATTAGATGAAAATTCATCACACATTGAGAGGAAACATCAAGAACGAGTGAAATTAATGCCATCAACATGTTTAAGCCAAGTCAATGAAGCCATTTCATCCCCCCGACTTCTCTCTATTCCATGCATAATGTATCTTAATCTGATCTGAAGGCTTCCCTTTTAATGTTCCTCCAACCAAAGATGAAGCCTGTGAGTGTGAAATTTTGCTGGAATTAAAGTTTTAACATGACAGCTGGCTGAGGAGAATCCATGGCTCAGCTCCTCTTTTGGAAAGCAAAGCAGCTAAATAGACGGAGGGAAGAATGGAGAGCTGGAGAGGATGAAAAGAGGACACAGAAATGGAACGAGAGCGAAGAGGTTGGAGCAGCATGTCAGCGGAGAAAGTGGAGAAAGACAGACGGCAGGTTTACTTCATGACTGTTGCACTGGGAGTTTTATCTCACGCCCCAGCTTTGCGTCGTCACACGCTTTTTGCTTGTTTGCTCTGCGCCAGCTGGTGTTTGCCGGCGCTTCGGTGTAGCTCTACTTTCTGGGCGTTATCAGGGCCTGTCGGGCTCTTGTTAAAAGCCTTGGAAACAGTGTCACTGCTGGGGTTTCCAATTCAAACTACTGATGTAAATTATTTATTTTTTTTCTCGCTGAAATTGTAAATCTCCTTATACCGTAAGAGGATTGAACATGCTGGCTCCGCCTAAATAAATTACTGTGAAGAGGGGGAATGTCCCCAGTGCTAAGTTTTGCACCTGCAGTGAGTGTTTCATACAGAACAAAGATTAGTGTGGAAGAAAGGAGAAAGTTGACACAATGGCTTTCTTCTAGGCTCAAGGGGATGCTCTGGGTTTAAGAGAAAAGCAGAAAGTTAAGGCATGAGTGTGTTTTCTCACAAATTGAGTTGCTCGTCTGTAATTTGCATAGCAAGTGCTGTTAGCGTACAAGACCTGGTACTTTTGTAAACGGAGGCTAAATGAGCTGCACTCTGTAGATTTGTTCTCCTTTTCTGCACAAGCAGACCGCTCTACTGCGTTAGGTAGGTTCTCCTGTAAGGAAGAAGAACCAGCATCATAATTTTTTGATGCTATTATAAACTGTGACTGTGACATGGTTTGGTCGAAATACAGCAGAATTAAAGTGGAAAATCCGTTTTATAACCTGCCTGTGGTGCTGAGTTCCTCTGCAGCGGGGCTTGGGGAGAAACACTTGACTTGATAGGTTGCTGTTTTTTGAGTGATGTCTCAATAAGATCTAGAGAAACTCTTTCATGTGTTTATCTTTAGTCCAAATTAATCAGAACCAGAACGCTGCTGCTGGCGTTCTGACTAAAACCAGGAAGACAGAGAACATCACACCAGATCTAAAGTCCTTCACTGGCTCTCTGCAGCTCAGAGATTACACTTTAAAACACTGTTGTTAGTTTATAAATCACTGAACAGTTTAACAACACAACACACTAAAGATCTGCTGCTGTCATAGCAACCTCTCAGGTCTTCTGGTTCTGGTTCTGCTCTACATTAAAACCAGAACCAAACATAGAGAAGCAGCATTCAGCTTCTACGCACCACAAATCTGGAACAAACTTCCAGAAAACTGCAAAACAGCTGAAACACTTTTCCTTTAAATCTAGACTAAAACCGTTTAGAGTTGCTTGGAAACATAATAAGAAATTAAACATTAATTAACATATTTGATGTGTAACAACAGAAAAATGTAAAGCTTCTATTATTGACTGTGTTTTCTTGATTTAGTATTTTTGTGTTTTTATGATGTAAAACACAAAAATAACTGCCTTGTTGCTTAAATATAGTGTACAAATAAACCTGGTTTGACATTTTAGTAAACATTTTATTCTTCCAGAGAAGTTTTCAGAGCTTGTTTCTCGAGTTAATGGTCATAATAATAAATAGATTTTAAGTATTCAAAATATTTTAGCTGAAACACCAAATTTAGATCAAATTTTGAAATGGTGAAAAACAATTAATGTGATTTATTCGCTTCTAAACAAGAAACGCTTGGAAATCCGAATTGATTTAATTCATGTTAATATGTATTTTAAGCTGTGTTGCTTCCATTTGTGATTGACAAAACAATATGTAGTACATAATTTGATCCTCAAATATTTTATGGAAATTTATCATCATCGCCCGGTTGTTATTTTAAAATGTAACTAATTTTAGACTCTATTTGATGAGGTCATTTAAAGACAAAAGTTGGGCTCTGCCTTCACGACTCATCATTTTCCACTTCTATCCTTCAACTTAAAGACTGTTTTTATATTTTATTCTTCCTTCCCTCTGCAGGCGTTTATGGAGGATGTCAAGTCTCGCGGGCCCTTCATCTACTCGGTTTTGGAGTCAGCCCAGGCCTTTCTGGCTCAGCACCCCTTCCAGGAGCCCGAGGAGACCCTGACCGATGGAAAAGGTCTGCTCCCTTCATGCTATATGCCAACTGCTGTGCCAGCTGAAATGTCACACTCATTTTTCCCCTCAGAGTTTGTTTGATTAGGGCCCTTGCAGGTGAAATCCTTCATTAATTGTTATTAGCAGTGATCTGTTCTCTGGCGTCACACCAAGTTTAGGGAAACGGTCCGGGTCGGGACCAATTACCTCCGGTTTACCAGCTCTACAGCACCATCTGCTCAGATCAATAATGCAGTGTGTTTCACTATTTCTCCACTCCTATGTCCATTTCTTTTTTTTTTTTTTTTTGCCTCATTACCCATCTGCCCTGTTTTCATTAAACTTTTCCAACTCTTTTCTTTGCTATCACACTTTTCTTACCAATCATTGTAAAGCTTTGTCCTCCACACTCTTATTGCTTTCATATGTTGATGCTTTTATTGCTTTATTTACTTTTCTCTGTTTTCTGCAGAGGTGTCTCCCCGGCGACGGATTTTGAACGTGAGCCGATCTGTGTGGAAGCAGGCGAACGTGGCGAGTGACCTGTGGGAAAAACTGACCGCTCGCTGCGTGGACCGCCACAGGTCGGACGCTTCGTTCTCTCTCTACAAATAGATCCAAGATTAAAGTAATTTAAACTTTATTCTGATTTTCTGCTGTATTGCACTCAAAAATGATGAACTATTAAATCCCCACGAAATTAAAAGAATGTTCTGAAGGGCATAATTTTTCTCTTACTGTTTAATAATTTCTCCAACTTGCGTTTTTACCGCAACCATCTCTCAGCTTCTCAGTTAAAGTAATAAAAACCTCCCAATGTTTCAGGTCATTAAACTAATTCTACTGTGAGAAGAAAAATAATCTGAAAAAAAATTGTTTTCTAAACCAACCTAAAAGTAAAAGAGTAACTGCTTCTATGTTAATTGTCATTTTTCAAAGCTGTTTTATTTCACTGACCATATCAGGACCCGATTAGTGCAGAATTAAGAAATAATTTGCTGCAAATTGATGACACAGCCTGTCATTTTATTTTTCCTTTTTTCCGTCTTCCTATAGAATTACTCCACACTCTAAGAGCCGATCGTCATCCACTTTATATCTGTAAATACTCCTGATAAGTACATTTTTACAGTCTATAAAGATCCTACATGTTCAACTTCTTCATTGCAGATTCAACTATCTACTTCTGTTATAAGATATGTTTTAAATATTGTTTAAAATTGTTTGTTCTTTATGTTATGTTACAGGGATGTCCAAACTTTTTGCAAGCTGGGCCAAAATTGTTGACTCAAAAATAGTTGTGGGGCAAAAAAACCCTCCAAAAAACAAAAGAAAACTCTACCTAAAATCAGGCAAATCAGGTAGTTCAGTATCTCTTATAGCTCCAAGATGTGAAAGCGATTTTTGCGACGGTGTTTTACAGCCATTGTAGGTAGAAAAAAAGAGTAAATTGCCACCTTTCTAGAAAAAATACAAAAACAAAAACTGAGACAAGTCTCTGTGATTTACTGCATGTTTGCAATAGCCCAAAACTTTTCTTAGTTCAGATTTTAATTATAATTTAAACAAATCCTGCAGGCACATGGAGAGGACACTGGAGCGCCTTTTGCAGATCCAGGCAGCCATGGAGGAGCTGGCGGGGGCCCTGGAGCAGGCAGAGGGTGTGCGGGACGCCTGGGAGCCTGTTGGCGACCTCTTCATCGACTCTCTGCAGGACCACATTGACGCCACCAAGGTGGACACACACTGCTGAACTTAAACTCATACAAATCTGTTATACCTGTAGTCTAGTGCCTCTAAATAATGACAAATAAGCTTTTATACACCACAAATTTTAAAGTCGGCAAGTTTTTGTCAGCAATAGCACTGAAACGATATGTCCCGTATGAATATTTCAGATCTGTATCATGCAGTTCTGCTTCAAAATGTTTGTTTGCCTGCATAAATATGCCTGTCAGAGCAGCTACGATGTGACAGACGATGACAAGGACGCGCCGCTTCAAAATGACGCTGCGAGGCGGCGCGGGTTACGATCTTTCTCCGAGCAGAGGTTGTTAAACAAATGACAGGCCATTGGTTTAGTCATTATTGAGTGCCGAGTGCCGCTGCCGCCTGTAATTGCGTGGAACTGTTCATTATAACTGAGGACCCTTGAAAATCTTGTCACTGTTTGGACTCTTGTCACAGCCAGCACATGTTTGGGCCCAGTCTTCAGGGAAGGCTTGTCAGGTTTCCTCATCTCATGCTCACAGTGACACATGCACATATACATTCACCTACTGAAAGATGCTAAAATAAACCTGTGGCTTCTTTACAGGACTTGTTTTGACTCTTTAAACGCTGCTTTTTGACAGATACAGAAATAGCTGTAGGTTTGTTGTTGTATCTTTTCATCTTATGATGAAAACGACAAAACTGAGGATTTTCTTACATTATTTATTTCAGTTTTTGTCTGTTTGTCTGATAATAACAACATAAGGTGCTGAAATTTACATCTCATCTCTAACATGTAAACTAATCACATTTTGTCTCATCTTAACAAAAATAAATGTTTTTTGCATATTCCAATGTTAAAACACTGAAACACAGGAATAGAATCTCTAGATATCCTTATTCAAACCACTGATTCTCAATAAAATTTACATCAAATCATCCCTATGATTAATTTTTAATTTCATGTTGACTCTTAAATTTTCCATCCTTTGACTGGAACACCTTTTCCTACATTTGCTGTAGCTTTAAGTTTAAACAAACTTAAAGAATTTTTTAAAATGCTTTTCACTCTGTTATGACAGCTAAATTTGATCAATAACTGTCCCATAGTGGCTTTTTGTCTGTATTTGTGATCAATTCTCTCCTTACCTGGTTTGTCACTTTAAACAGCCATTTGAATTGGTACCGTTCTCTTAATTTCAGATAATTGACCAAGCAGTGATCCGTGAGATAATCAAAGCTTGAGATATTGTTTGATGATCTAACTCTTCTTTTATCGTCTCCACAGCTTCATTCCTGACTCGTCTGCTTTGTTTCTTGATCTTTACGCTGCTCATCGCTACACAATCCAACACAATTATGCACTGCTGTGTTGGTTCAAACTACCAATAAAAGATACTGAAGTTTGTGTTTGAGACGTAGGAAATTTGATTCAAATAGTGAAATATTTTTGCAAAGCTCTGTTATTTACTTGGAGCCGTTTCAGCCCCAGCAACATTTTCCAGCCTGTTAATTGTCTTCTAAATTATATATTATGTGAAGTTAAAGTTTTCCTCTTTTCACTTTTGCTTAATTTTCTTGGCTGACTTCTTTTAGGCTCAAGCCATGCAATCATGCTGAATATCAAATTGTACTTTGGACTTACAGTCAGACAGTCATAAAAACAATTTTTAAAACCGTGTATACTCTTTTGTCAGCCATTATTGGGTTTGCATAGATGTAATAATAGCACTGCTCTAAAATCTTCACATTGATCACAGAAGTAAATTGCTGCAAATTGATGACACAGCAGCAAGTCAAGATAAATTTGGAAATGAATAAAGGAATGAAGTGTTGCACTGTGTGGCTTTTCATCAATTTCTTTTAATCCAGATGATGAGTCCAGCCTCATTTTATTTCTCAGTATTTGCTGTCGTTGTAGAATAAAGGCACTTTGATGTTATTTAGAAAAGTGCTCCAGTAAGAGACTCGGTGTCTGTTTCACAACGAAGCTCTTTCGTTGAATTTGGGCTGAGAAACGGGTGTATAGGATGTCAAGTTAGAAGTGACATTTTGGAGATAGAGGTCAGAATAAGTCATAAAGCGATCAAACATGATCATGGCTTATATTGTAATATAATTATCTATCATAGACTCATTTATATAAAACCTAATACTAGATTATTTATATTTTTGGTTGTTATTCATGTGTTTCCTTTCTGCAGAGATGTTTCCTATTTGTTAAAGAAATGCCTTTTCGGTGCTATTCGTCTATTATGAATAGCTGCCAAAGTCCTCAAAATATTGAAGAAGAACATTTTGAAAAGACCTTCACAAAGCTTGAAGAAATATTGATCATGAATGCTTTAATAAAAGATTACAGGCAAACCTTGGCTCTTGGACAGGAGTCAGGGATAGTTTGAAGCAGTAATGAATGCCACTCTATTCTCCTTCCTTTCTGAACTTTCACAAATTACAGGCGTTTGTAACTTTAGCACCTGCAGAGCAGAGAGACATTAGCAAAAATTAAAATTCAAGTGGTGAACCAGTTTTTTTTCTTAGTTTAAATCAGCTTTGTTGTTTTAAAATGTTTCCAGACAAATTTATGAGCCGTCGGTTCTGTCGACCTTCTTTACTTTTATATCATTTATTCTGTTTCTTTTTGAGACCAGATGGTTTTCTTTTATTGTCTATTCATTTTTAGACATATATATATATGTAGTGATTTGCTTTGATTTCCAGACGTTAGCTCACTGTTGCTGTACAAAAGTTTGTGCAATGGAGAAATTAAAAAAATACTTTATTTGATTTGGTGGGCATAAGACTGACATGACACTGTCATAAACATGAAGAAGTCTTCACGAACAGTTATTGCTGTCATGAAGGTTCATCTGGGAAATAATTACACAACAATGGAACTTTTAATGCAACTTTGTATTAAAAGTGATCATCTTGCTGCAATTTTTGTTTTAAAGTGTCACCTTTAATTGACTTTGCATTAAAAGTGACTGTTTTAATAAAATGTTTGTCTTAAAGTGTGACCTGTAATTGAATTTGCTTTAAAAGTGTCATTATTTATTAAAGACTTCTTCATGTTTATGACAGTGTCATGCCAGTCTTATTCACACCCCTTCACATAAAGTGTTACCAAATCTTTTCTTTGATTAGCCAACATTTACATTTACATTTCTGATTATTATGTCCACTATGCCCCATTTTGTGCCTCTTTTTGTTCTCTTTTGGCTCCTGCAGTTGTTCAAGGAGGAACTCTCGCAGGTGAAGGAGGGCATGAAGCAGGTCAATGAGTTGGCCCACCAGCTGGCAATCTCTGATGTCCATTTGTCGATGGAGAACGCCCGGGCCCTGGAGCATCTCAACAGCAGATGGAAAGTGCTTCAGGTAGAGTTCATTGGCAAGTTTGATGCTACCAGCAGCACGTTTTCCTGCAGGATGTGCAGGTGTAATATCAGCCTCTGTCTGCCTTTCAGAATCTCAGACTTTCAACTCTTTCTCTAAATGTTAACTCTGTGAGAGGAATTCACAATGCAGCCCATTTTTGAAAATCTTTTGCATGTTCTTTTCTTTTTATGCTCTTTAAAGAAATTTGCACCATTTTTTTTGTATCAGTTCAGCTGGGGAAGAACTGATCGAAATAGAACAAAAGAACATTTCCCTCATTGAGATTATGATTTTTCTAACTAAAAAATATAGATTTTATGAAAGACAAGATTCTTTCTTAGATTTATTCAAAGATAAATAACGTTATTAAGAAATAAAAAAAAGTTTCTTTAGCTTCAGTTGCAGAATGCTGGATACATTTTCTGTCAAAATTACCATCTGATTTCAGCAGACAGTATTTTTCAAAGCTTGCAGAACTTAAAAACTCTGATCTGAGAATCCAGCTCTACTTGCTATGGCCGTAATGTACAGATAAACACAACAGCAGACTTTCTGCTACATGCATGCATAACAGCTAATCTATAGTTCTGGAAAAGAATGGAGAGCCCCCTGCACTGAACCCCACTGAAAACCTCCTGGTTATTCCACCAAATATTAACTTCTGAACTCTTCTTGAGTTAAAACATTAGTATTGTTGTTTCTAAATAAATATGAGCTTGTTTTCTTTGCATTATTTGAGGTTTGAAAGCACTGCATCTTTTTTTTATTTTGACTATTTCTCATTTTCTGCTAATAAATACAAAATTTTTGCTTGGAACTTCGGAAACATGTTGTCAGTAGTTCATAGAATAAAAGAGCAATGTTAATTTTTCTCAAACACACACCCATAAAGAGTAAAATCAGAGAAACTACCATATTTTCTGGACTATATCAGCAGAAGAACTGCCTTTACAAGTTGTTTGTTTTTCTTGAACAAAGTTAAACTTTTCAACCAAAGGAGAAACATCATCAGTACTATAATCAGATGAAGGGATAGACTTTGAAACACAAACTGTGTAAATATTATTACTCTTCATTTCAAATTCAATCATTAATTCTGTTGTAAAATGTTTTACTTTCTACCTCTTTTGCTAATTGCATGTTTTCTACTTGCTAAGATTTTTTCATTTGAATGTCAACTTCAAATGAAAAAGAGACAAAAAGAAAATCTTTTTTTTAATGTGATACTACTGTCTGCTTTTAGCATCAGGTTTTCCCTCTTGAACTGCACAGCATGTCATAACTTTGACTAATTTTTTGCACTTTGCACATATCTTTAATACTTCATGTTGCTGAGTGCTTCTGCTTTGGGGACCACAGTCGAGCTACGCGATAGTAATATTAACAGGCTGTTAAAAGCATGCATGGACTCTCTTTTAAGTCCTGCTTTGATAAAGATGAATTGAACTTTAGGAATTTCCATATAAAAATCTTCCTTTAGAGATTTGATTGGATTTTCAAGGTGAAAATTCAATCGCTTTTCTTTGTCAAAATCGAAAATGTTTTAGTTTTTAAAATCATACAGTTTTGTAGTGTTGCTACTGAGAGCGTAGATCTATTTTTGACAACAGATCATAAAATGCAAAAAATGTTAAAACAACAAAGTTGCAGCAGGGTGATACATGTCATAAAGCAGAAATAATCTAAAGGTGACTCTCCAGAATACCTAAGAGGAGCGATAAAAATTGATGTTTGCAGTAGAACTGTTTGCTTGAACGTGCACTTACAAATTGAGGGCAATACTCCATTGAATCTGAGGCACTTACCCTTAAAGCCTTTAAAACATTGAAGTGAACTTCCCCTCCACTCCCTGCTGAGCGGATTGGATGGATGCACTAGCAGGGAAATCTGCAGCGTTTTCAAGCATCAGCTGCATCCACTGTCAGCAGACTGTCTCTGCTCCTCCAAACACAATAAAACCCTCTCACCTTTCACCTGCTGTTAAAACATCCTGAAACGTTAGATAACCTTGATTAAATTATTCTTCACAGACTGAAATGTCAGCCAGTGCTTTTTTACTCTCTCTGCCTCTCTTTTCAGATAATAATCATTTAGAACCACTTGGAAAGTTTGTAGAAATTAATATCCCACCTCCCACTTTGCATCCTGACTTTCTTCAGCTTTCAAAGAGTTTTGGTAGCTCAAATTTGCCCATGTTTGATTTGCAACCCTTACAAATAAATCGACGTACTTATGTTCTGTAAGAAAGTCTTGGTCCACATGTTGAAAAAAACCCCTCCAGAACAGTTTCTCTGTCCTTTTTGGTTCAGATTCAAAAATCTTCGCAGCTGAACCATTAACATTTTGTAGAGACTCAGGGACTGTAGAGACTGCCTGAAGATGTCTTCATCACCTTTCAGCATTTCCTTAAAAAGTCCTTTGAGGCTGACATTTGTAGAGCTACAAAAATAGAACAAATTGAAAGTCTAATCCATTCATTCTCCATTTCCCTTTAAAGGAAAAAGACCTTTGAAACAGGTTGGCCCCTTCTTGCTTTTCTTCTCAGGTGATCTGTGTGCCTCAAGATAAAACCCTTTATAGCTTTTATTATTATGGTAAAAATGCTGTCTTGGATCTATATTTCCCAGCAGTTATGTATTTTTTTTTTCAAAACTTTCCATCGTTTTTTATCCCTTCTAAGATATAAACAGAAACTTTCCATTGGAAGGAAAGAAAGAAAAACTAATCCAAACTATTTGGACTATTTCTGAGTCATTTCCATGGGGTAATAAAGTCATTTGATAGTTTTGATTGTCTTTTTGTGTTGGTAATCTGGTTAATAAAGGTTAGTTTTCATGTGCAGTTCCATCTCACCCTTACACAAGCAAACATAAAAATGCAGTGAATAAATTGATTTTCAGTCAATTTTCTGCACCAAGGACTTCAGAACATATTGACACGTTTTTCCTGAGGCTCTTAAACTGTGTACCGTACTTTCCGGACTATTAGCCGCACCTGAATATAAGCCGCAGAAGCTAAATTGCATGATTTGTACATATACAAGCCGCACCGGACTATAAGCCGCAGGTTTTTTATGTTTAATTACGATATGGTTCGTGCACAGAGGGGATTGCTGGGAAAGAGGCAACTGTTTGGGGAAGCGCCTATTTATTAACATTTCAAAACAAGTTGCATATTTGCATACATTAACTGTTACAATTTAGTGCAATAGTAGCTCCCATTTATAAACATTTGAACAAACAAGTTGCATATTTGCATAACGTTTTCAACCATTTAGTGCAATAGTAGCTACAGAAGGTACAGAACATATAAAGCTACAACAACAAATAAAGTGCCTGTGACATGACAGTAAGTCTAAATTGCAGTAACACGGCTGCTTAAAATATACGGTTATCAGCCTACCAGAAAAGTTATTACCGTAACCCTCTTCTTCATCTTTGGTGAAGTACACGGCTGTAACCAGAAAAGTTCCCGTGCGCGCAGCTACTTGTGTGTTGAAGCAAATGTGACGTCAACATGGTGGATGGTAAATTCCATGGATTTAGGTATCCCCCTAGTGGCCGTTAGCTGCAATAATCCATAGATAAGCCGCACTGTTATATAAGCCACAGGGTCAAAAAATGGGGAAAAAGTCGCGGCTTATAGTCCGAAAATTACGGTATATATTTGGAATTTTACATTGACATTGGTGATTCCTGGGTGCTTTTGCTTATTGCGATGAAAACCAAATAATACATTTTCCCATGTTCCCTATGCGGCTCCGTAAAATTGTAATTGAATTTAAGGTGTTCCCCCCCAAAAAAAGTCATAGCTGTTTGTGTTTTTCTTGACACTTATAATTCTAAAAACACCTTGGAAATAAACACAGAAATAAATAAGCAGCTTGCTAAAGCAAATAGGATTACCCAGAAATAAAAAAGAAAAACTTTCTCAACGTTTTTGAGAAATGTTTCTCAACGTCAGGGAATTGGTGCGCTGCAGTCATAAAGGGATTGAGACCATCAGTAAAGATACTCAGGTATACTGTGACATTTGTTGATGCTCTGCTGGTTCCATCGGGTCCAATAAAAGATTCCTAACCCCATTACTAGTAAACTGAACCCCTGATACCATGCAGTATGACGGCTCACCTTTGACCTTAGCAAGGCAGTTTCATCCAGCTAATTGCCTTCTGTTTTTTTCTGCTTTTCTAACCCTGAGCGTAAAAGATGGCTCAAGGTGAAAATCTCTGTGGATTAAAAGTTTCTGAAATAGTGAGACGAGATCATCGGGCGCAAACAAAGTCACCTAAATCATCTTCTTTCTTCAGTTTGAACTTCAGCCAATCACCTTCAGCACGGCTAGATGCTGCCATTTCATTGGCTGAGTCATATTTATGTTAAATAATTAGCATTTTTGTTCCAGGTTGACTAGTAATCCTTTCTAGATCCATTTTTCCGTTCATTGTTTGCTAACAATCTGACCTACTTCCAGATGTGGGTAGAGTACCCAAAAAATACTCAAAAGTATTCATGTAAAAGTAGCGATACTTCAACATATTTGTATGCAGGTTTTTACTCAGGTAAGATTTCAAAGTATCCATCTAAGAAATTACTCAAGTACTGAGTAACTGATCAACCTATCAATCATTTAATATTTAAAAAGTTCAACATCAGATGGACCAAAATATGAAAGTGAAAACAAAATAGAAATGTGGCTCTTTAACTAGGTGAGGGATTTTTTCTCTTGAATATTATGAAGTAATTATTAGGTTTAAATTGCAACATTAAGTTAAAACTCACAATTTCAAATTAATTAGCTTAAAAACTATGTTTAGACAATTTAAATCAACTTCATGAATTTTAATTTCTGTGTTAAAACCAAAAGAATTTTCTTGCTGACATAAATTTAATTTTTTTTTTCAGTTAAACCACCTCCAAAAGAGTTACAACGCAGTTGAATCTTAAAAATACCAAATATATCAGAATTAAAACAAAAGCAAATATGATCCCAAACACATATTAACCACAAATTGTTATTTAAAACACAGGCTTCAGCTGATATTTATCTCAAAAAGATTTTCTTTTCCTCTACTCTTCCACTACTCTATGCGCTCCTAGGCCTGGCTCTTCATTTAATACAAAACCAACAAAAGTCCCAAAAAAAAGTCTTAAAATGATTCAAAAAAGTCTGAATGTATGGACTTGAGGTGGAAGAAATTTGATAGTGTTGTACAATATATTTCCAGTGGCAGCAGAATGAAGTCATTTTTCTCTTTGGTCAGTTCTGTTCTAATTGAGATATTAAATGTTTAATTGCTGCACCAGATTGATCACTATTAATTATGGTTTTTATTGCACTAGTGGAAGTCCTTGTCCAAATTTGTTTGCTAATATTTGCCGTTCACGGATAATTTAGTCATTTGTCTTCCTTATGCCTGGCTAAATTGCCTGTAAAGCAAATAGATTGTAGAACACAGCAAAGTTGGCAGTAACATCTCCCGGGCGCAACGACGGTGCTCTCCATTAGTCTAAAACAATTTAATTCAAGCTCTAGATTTTATTTTTGAATTTCTAGGTCTAATAGATGTTCACTGAAATCAGGTTCTTAGTTTTTAAGAGCATTGTCTATTTAATCTTTATCTTTTTCTCCTTCTATCTTTGTCTGGCTCGTCACTTCACAGTGAGTGGATTTACCTCCCATTGTTTGAGGAGGCTGACATGGATTCATGTGCCAAATCCAATACTTTTCATTTAAACTGGGATTAGACAGGCTAAATCTCATTTGGTGGGAAACCTACCAAATATTAAAGTTTTTTTTTTTTTTTAACTATGTCAAGCTTAATTCCGTCAACTCAGTCTCCGTAGTTATTGACGCAACATTTAACGCTTTCTCTCTGCAGCTCTCCACCACACGACTCTGCTGTCTGCTGTACTTTTCACATAACAAATACTTTTCTAATCTCTGTCTTCATTTTCTACCTGCTGCTTTCAGGAGCTGGAGAAAAAAAATCCCAAACAAATAAAACCCCAGCTAATTTTACATTCAGCAGTTGGCTAATAGAGACGAAGCAAGTAGCCTGTGTGCGTGTTTGTTTTCCAATTGTGGAGGCTTGTGATAGGGAGTGCAGAGCAGCAGGAGTGTCTTTGATTTAACTTTGTGTGTGTCTTTGTGTTTGTCCTCAGGGCTCCATTGAGGAGCGGCTGAAGCAGCTCCAGGATGCACACAGAGACTTTGGCCCTGGATCGCAGCACTTCCTCTCCAGTAAGGGTCCTCCTCTGCTATTTGAAGTTGGTGCCTTGTGTTGCAACAATCTGTGGCGTGCTGTGCCAAGGCACCACCTCAAAGAAAGTGGAAGCATGTATGTGTGTGGAGAGGAGGGAAGGGGTTAATACAATTAGAAGCTGCTCAGTGTGTGTGTGCATTTGGGTTAGAGGTGGAGCTGGGGAGCTTTGTTCATCTGCCGCACGTGGGCCTAATTTGATCAGAGATGCACATTTATAAATTCTGTCTCTTCTTCTACCTGCTGTTCTGCAGAGGATGAGGAGAGGCAGCAGGTTGTCTAAAAGTGATTTAAATTGAAAATCAAATGTGAAAGCTCGGTTTTGTGCGAAACACGGAAGTTTAAAAAATGTTTTTGCAAAAAGGTTTTTCAGACTCTGATTTCTGACAGACAATGATAGAGTGCTGTGGCTGAATAAATAAAAAAAATATATGTAATATTTATATATTTCATTTGAGTATTTACATCCTTTGCTGTCATTATTTTTAATGCCTTATCGCGTAAACGAGCTTATTCATGCGTGATTTTCATTTAATTTCTTGTTTAATGGAAACTTCTGAGTTGTGAAGTGGTGTTTTTTCAACTTTAGTTGAATATAGACAAAGATTTGTGCATATTTATAATGAAAATGTAGCTCTTAGGATGTTAGAAGTAACAAACAAAGGCGTGTAAACCAGCCTGTACCAACATTACTTTAGTCTATAAGAAGAAGACAGAAGGTTTAATGCATCAAAATGCACCAACATAACCCACCACTCAATTCTGCCTGATGAGTGGAGGAGCAACAACATGAGGCAGCATGTGAACGAGGCAAAGAAGTTATTCAGAAGGTTAAAAGGGTTTCCAATAAACAGGACGTTAGCGATGAAGGATGCTGATGTGTCTCCGTCCCAGGAGAGTCACAAATCATCTTTTTATGTTCCTAACTGACAGAAAGGTCAAATTTGACTTCTGTCTTTGGCTTAGACAATGGTTTGGTTTCCAGCAGTCCTCCAGACCTCCACCGCTACTATTCTGCAACTTTGAGATGAATCCCTCCTCCAGAACACATAAATCAACTGAATGGCTCGTTAGCAGGGCTGAGTGGCTGCTGATGAGGGAATTCAGCTCTTTGATTCAGGTGAGTTGGAGCAGGGAGCATCTGAAAGTTACAGGACAGAAACGTTCAAGGACTGGATGCATCTCTGAGTTAAAGTCTTGATTTTATAAATGTTTCAATATTTTACTGATCGAATCAGTAAATTATTATTATCAGTAGATTAAATCTGTAACTTGGGAGAAATATAAAGTGTTGACTCAGTCATCTATGGCCTCTTTTTGCAGATACAAATGTCTTTGTATCTGCAATTAATCAATTAAAAGTTTTATAATTTCCATTCTAATGAGTAATACTTTTGTTTACAGAGACATTATAATTGATTTGATTTATTGTGGTTGTATGCAGGTTTTAATTTCAGTTGTATTTATTGTTTTTGGTTGTTTAGTTTTATTTTGGATATTTACGATATCATCGTTAGTGCAGTGTTCTTCAGAAAATTAAAGTTTATTGTTCTTTGAGAGGGCGAACTTGCATTATAATGCCATTATTAATACATTAATTGAAAATGGTCTCAAACATATATAACAATATAATTGGTTATTTCAATAGTTACTGGGACAGTCTATCATCCATCAGCATTTGTTCTTGTGAAAGGCAATACATAAATATTAAAACTATAAAATCAGAAATGCTAAACTGTCTTTGCAGCAGCAGGAATAATTTTTCCTGAGCTGTTGTAAGTAAGAACTATTAGTTTGTTTTATAAATTTTAATTTTGAACCTTTATGTTAACACTATGCTAATCATATTTTACCTTTCAAACAAGCTCAAGTCATGTTTCTACTGGATTATTTGGAAATGTTTGCTGTTCGCTAAAGCAATAATGTCTCTACTGAACACATTTTTGCTTGTCTCATTTATAAAGAATTTGTTTTTCTTTAAACTTTGAACTAATAAATTATTGGCGATTATTCAAATTATTAACATCTGAGTAAAAATATTGACTGTTCTTACAAGTCATTCTGTAAAGCTGGTTACTCTGTCAAGGCAAGGTCAGTGTTGAAAACTTGACTGTGAAAAAAAACTTCTGCACCTTTAATGTATGGAGACACTGCTGAAAGCCTCTGGTTTACATAACCATTGTAACCATTGTTGCACTGTTTGTGCAACAATACAAAGAGTTTATACCTTCTGAATGTCTTTCAACCTTCAGTCTGTTTTATTGTTTTATTTATGTGAAAGACCGACACAGTGTCTTTCACAAAATACATTGTGAAAGACATGATGTCTTTCACAAGTGTTAGGAAAATAATAGAAGTTCTTATGAATAAAGTAAAAAAAACCAAAAACATTCTTCACATTGCATTTATGTTCAGTTCCCTCTGTAAAAGCACCTCTTACTGGATTTACAGCTGCTAGTTTTTAGGAGAGAATAAAATCTAAGTCATCATACTAGATGCAGAGTCTCTCAGTAATGTTCAGGTTTTGCTGTAAAGTCTCCGCAGATTTAACTTGGTCTGTCTAACGTACCATATTTTCCAGGCTAAAAGGCACACTTAAAAAGCCTTTAATTTTATAAAAGTAATCCGGACCCCTTCTATATTGTTCTGGAGTAAAACATTACCACTAATTAGTACAGACTGTTTCTGGTTGTGCTTACTGACCCCGAAGCGATTTTGGGTCGGAAGGTTTTACTTACACTGCGGCTGGAGAGTGACACGTCCTGTGCTTTGACTGACTGTTTTGTTTTGCTTAATCCTCTTTATATACTCTTAGTGCCGCCACCACCATGTGTCAGTAGAGGTTCAATTTTTTTACATATCGTTTGTGTCAAACTGCAAGCAAGATTATGACTTTCTTCCAACAGCAGCTTTCTTATTACAAAGGTCAGAGTTATGAACCTTATAACAAATAGTTATCCTGTTGAAAGATAATCGTACTGCGACGTACTAGGGTCATACTAGGGTCATACTATGGAAATAAAAACGATGTAATCACAAGAATAAAGCTACAATATTATGAGAGTAAAGTAAAAGTCAAACTCTATTTGTTCAATTCATTATTTGTGAAATGACACAAGGAATCAAATTATGTTTCTCACCATCTGGAAAACTAATAACTTAGACATCAGATAATAAATAAGAACACACAAGCTTGCAAGATTATGTTTTTACTCTTGCAATATAGTAACTTTATTTTAAAAGTAGACTGCTATCATATTTTTACACCTTTATTATTGTAATATTATGACTATTCTTGTAATTGTTTGTTTGTTTTATTATATTTTCTTATTACGGCCCTAGTTCTCCATCATATATTCCAAACCAAGCTGAAAAAGTGTGAAACACTTTGAGTTTATCTGAACCAGAGCATCTGCTAGGAGCATCCCAGCTGACCTTCACCATGATCTGACCTGCCAGACTGGAGTTCATTAAAAGCTTTGCTTTTTTTGCAGCTACTTTGCAGGAAATTTCATGTTGATATAAGATTTACAAAATGTTGTAAGGATTCCAGGAAATTAATTTAAAAAGAGAAAAGTTTAAAAATGACAAGCTTATCCAGTCTGTGAATGAACAGAATCCTGAATAATAGTAACCGGTTCTAAAAGGAAATGGTCAGGATATATTTTGGAAAGTTTATCCTTTTTAGAGCTAAACGGGAAATGAACTTCAAATCTGTCAGTGTTTACATAAATGACTTATAAACTTGGAGCTGCCTGGTTTTATTTATTCACTTGCCAATACATGTGTCCCTCACAGAGCTCTGGTATCAAAAACATCAAAACACTTTCTATAAAGAAATAATCTGCCAGTAGTTTCACACCGATATCAACAAATTATTGACTTTTAACCAATACCTTGCTTAAAAGTTGTCTATAAGTAATCATTTTGAATTATTTCAGGTGTACTAAGATATTGTCACACGAAACTAGAACAAAATATTTGATAATATTTTGTTATTTTGCCTTTAATAGTAGCACTTTCTATGAAGGGGTGTGCATAAAACTGATATGACAGAACTAATGTTGTAAATAAGAAGGAGCCTTCATGAATGTCCTCATAAAATGTCATTCAGTAAAGATTTACACTAATGATCCAAAGTTGCACTAAAAGTTTCATTAAATGCTATTAAAAGTGTCAATTTTGCATTATTCTCTAAATAAATACACTTTTAATGTGGAGTTGTACTAAACGTTGCACTTAAAGTGTCTTTATTTACTCTTTATGACAACAGCGGTAAACATTCATGAAGACTCCTTACGACAGGTGTTGTCAATCAGACCCGTTCAGATAAAGTGTTATCCAGGTAATTAACTTATACCTGTCCATAATGCTCTTCCTTTATCTATTCAGACCTTTACAGAAATACATTACCTCTGGTTTTACATCCTTAAGGTTAAAAACCCCAAAAAGCAGTTTGATTGTCCACATTTTGATTTTCCTAATCCAAACATTGGCTTTGTACAAGTGAACGAGGAAATTCTCCAGGGATCCTCTTTCACGACTCCCTGATCTATGACTGGACGCTAAACAAGCCGGCTCTCTGTGAGAACCTCGTTACACAATGAACTCGTTTCTCTGGCTTCACTGCGCCTGTTGTACAGGGCAGCAGCTCCGTTAGCAAAGGTCTGAATGGACACTGTGTCCAGACACGCTGTCAGGCGCACTGAGCACAGTTCATGCATGATGAGACCGCTCTCAAATTGATTTGCACCCCCGTCTCTCTGTTTGCCCAGGTTCAGTCCAGGTACCATGGGAGCGTGCCATCTCCCCAAACAAAGTGCCCTACTACATTAAGTAAGTGTTTGTGTTGTCCAGGTGAATGCACTTTTTCATGCCACGTTAAATGACTCTGTTAGATGATAATTTTAGTGCCAGATTCAGTGAAAAAACAAACAGAAATTGGTGTAATGATTTTTCTAATATTATGCAATTGATTTCCTCACATGCGTGTAGAAATGAGCTTTTCTTTGTTGATTAATTCTTCAGCCTCCTTGGTGATTTTGTGGAGATCAATAGACAATTTATTACAGTTCTGTTCACACATACAAGCCCCAGTTAGGTTTATAATTTATTCTGATAAAGTCTGGGCAGAGCTGGGTTGTAACTAGTTACATTTACACAATTACAGTTACCTGAATAACCTTTTTGAAAAACATGTATTTTCAGGAGCATTTTTACTACAAAGTACTCTTTTCTTTCCTTGAGTAATTTTATTATGAAGTAATTAAGTTAAATTTCTCTTACTTGAGTAATTTCTTGGATGGCCACTTTTTATTTTTACTTCATTAAACATATATTGAAGTAGTGATACTCTTTCTTGAGAACAATTTTGTGTACTTTGTCCACCTCTGATTGTAAAGATAAAAAAATCTGCGCGTATTTATGTAATTCACACAGCAATCGAACCAGCAATAAAAAAATCAGGATGCAACAGCGACAAAGTCAAATTTAAATTTATCACCAGAAATTTCATCTTGATTAGCTCTCTGCCAATTAATTGTTTGCCTGTGGAAATGACTAAGCCATGATCCCGATGTCGTCTTATTGGGGAATCACAAGAAAACGTTGTAGAACGACAACTTGTCAGTAAGATGTGACCTGCAGCAGAACCACCTGCTTTGAGCGAGTTAGAGGGCAGGAAGCACTGACAGACGAGCACAGAGGCGCTGCCCGAGGTGGACTTTCCATAGAGACAGACAGAAGTTAATATAGCAATAATATCCTGTTTAAAGTTCAGTGTGGATCAGTGTGTTTCAATACACATTGAAACAGTTTTTCTGTCAAAATGAATTAGACTTTCCCTGATTATCTGTATAAAGGCTCTGGAAATATGACAGATTCAATATATAAAACATAAATATGCTGAAGCAGAAGTTTCTTGTCTTTCTCTTGGTGTTACTGTAAATATTATTCAAATTTATTCAGTACTAGCCAATCAGAAAACAAAAAAGCTTTACCATCTGCAGGTGTTTTTTGCTTTGACGAAAGGTCATTGTCCAATCGATGTAAAAGATTTTTCTGCATCTCGTTAGTCAGGATCTCCGCTAGTTTCAGTGGACATTTAGACCCATGTTCCCATGCTGCTTTCAAAGCTGCAGGTGGACTTTAATTTTCAAGTTAAACCACCTTCAAATGTTTTACATTGTGGAGCAAACTTTCAAAAATCACTGAGTTCCTTTCAATTTAGACTAAAAACCTTTTTAAAGTAGCTTTTGTAACATAATAAATAAAATATAAAGCAACATTTTGACGTGTAAATGACGGCCCTTTGACATTTTAATGTTTCAGTTGCTGATTTTTATGTGTTTTTATAATGCCTTGTTGCTGAAATGTGCTACACAAATAAAATTTGATTTTGATGTCAAAAAGAAGATGCAGAAGAGACCTGGGATGAATACTTTTTCACATAACTGCATCTTTATTGAACTTTTAGTAGCACACATATTTGCTGAAATTTTCAAAGATCTCACCATAGTTTAAACGTTTATTGGTAAGTAGAAAAATAATGATTGTGATTGAGCAGAAACTACTGAGTTCTGTTTTTGCAAAGCACTCATTTATTTATCAGCTCATCTGATCGATACTACTTATCCTCATAGAAAGACTTTTTTTTAAAATAAATGAATTGTGTCGTAAATGTGTAATAGGTACATTTAGGCAGGTCTTTGAACAAAATCTGTTCATTTGCAACTGAACAAACATTTATGGGCTTAGTTCCTCTGTAGACTTGCAGTATTTATCTTGTTAATCATCTGCAACACAACCTTATTGGTCTTTGTTTAGCCTGCCAGTCAGTGCTTTATGGACTGTATTCCTATTCCGGTGGGGATGGGAGATGTATAGCATCTGAGTAGCTCTCTACTCGGCAGTAATCAATGAGCGCTTGTGCAGGTAGAATGATGATTCCAGCCCTGAGAGGCCCATGTTTCCTGGCAGACTTCCTGCTGTGGGGTTTCTCATTTATTCTGCTGCTCTTGTTCTTTTATTGGATCCATTTTGTAGATGATACATTTCCTGGATGTTCCCTTCAGAGGAAACTGCAGCCCAGAGTTTTGTTTTTTCTCGCAAAGACAGATATGAGTTGGATCGTGTTATATTTATAAGAGCAGCAGAGCAGTCATGTGTTGTAACTCTGATGTCTGAACATGAATCCCTTCATTATGTTTGACTCGTGTCTGGACTTTTCAGGCCTAAAATTTCTTGGCATGTTATTCAAAAAAGATTCACAAGTTACTTTTAACCATAAAACTGTGCAAACTGAAAGTAGGAAAATACATTTGCTTAAAGCTGCAGTATGTAACTTTTAAAGAAAAAGTATAGATGTTTTTTGTACATATTTATTGAAGCTGTCACTGTCATGATAGTATTTTATGCTCCTACCTTCTCCCAGTGCTCCCAGTGTTAACTAGAAACAATCAATCAGAATATGGAGGCGGATCTTAGAGCTGTCAGTCACTACAGTATGTGGCGCTGCTCTTTCTGAACTCTTCCTGAGTAAAACATTTGTATTGTTGTTTCTGAACAAATATGAACTTGTTTTCTTTAAAGTACTGCATCTTTTTTTTGATAAAAAAGTATCCCAATATGTTAAAAATGTGTCATCTTTTTTTGACATACTTTATGCAAATTATGTTTTATTGGCATAAAATAAAATTCCTCATTTTATGCAAATACAACATTTTTGCTTGACATGTCAGTGACATGTCAGTAGTTCATAGAATAAAAGAACAATTTTCATTCAACTAAATCATATAGCTATGAAAAGTAAAAATTTGTGAAACTGATCACTCTAAGTGATCGCTTCATTTTTTTCAATGGAAACACTTTTTTGCTTTGCATGAGTCACATGACCAAAAGCCGGATGTTACTACTGGCGAAAACAGCAAAGAAGAAGAAAACAAGAAGTAGGAAGTGGGTTATGGATTTTTTTATTTAATGTGCAGGTGGCTTCACCAGAGATCCCACAGCATCGCACAGTTCATAAAAGGTTTTGTCATTCGAATGTGTTGAATCCATAACTCTTTTGTAAAATCACCAAAATGCCACAAATGTAGACGGTTTCAAGAATAGGGAGTTTGTCGCTCCGCTGCCTGAAGATGGTTGATGATGAATGTTAGCTGCTGAAATATGATTATATCTCATGTAAATGTTTACATCCGTCACCTCCATAATTTTTAATGACTGATTGTATTAACAAGTCATTCACATGTGATTTTAATTTTCTTTCTTATTTAAAGGAAACACCACAGTTGCCAAATTGTGCTTTTTTTGACGTTAGCAGAATATAGACAAAGATTTGAGCACATTTGTAGTGGAAACGTAGCTACTATGTTCTGCTTTTCAGATCCCCCCCCTCTCTCATTTTTATTCTCACTCCTTTTGTGAGTTCCGCTTTGATCAGTGAGGTCGAAAAGAAAATGTTCTTCCATTTGTCCTTGCTACGTGAATCTATTTGCCTTTGTTATTTTCTCTTTCAGCCATCAGGCCCAGACAACATGCTGGGACCATCCAAAGATGACAGAGCTGTACCAGGCGCTGGGTGAGTGAAGAGACGAGCCGTCTTCACGCTCGTTCGTCTGAGACCTGGTCGGCCTGCAGAATTGCCCCCAAGTTTGGGTTTGGGCTGTTAAGGCCTTATCTCCCAGCTCATTAAGCGACCGCAACTCAATCACCTTGGGGGCTACATTTCTACTGTCATTAACCTATGAGGCCCAATTTGCCAGCGCTGTGATTGCTTCCCGCTTAGCCTCTAATTAATTGTGATTAAACGACATGATGCGCCTCATGGTTAATCTCGTCTGACACGGGGAGTTTGCAGGAATAGATACGCACACCGTCGCAGCTGGAACTGCATGTATACCAAAAAATGAGTGTGGCTAATGTTTCTATTACAATAAAGTGACTTCTGCAGCATGGTGATAAACAAACGGGACAGATTTGGGATGCATTATTCCTTGGTTGCAGGGTGGAATGGATTAGTTCTTCCTCTCATCTCTTTAATCTCTCTATATCTCTTTTTCCTTCCACCAGCGGATCTAAACAACATCAAGTTCTCTGCATACAGAACAGCTATGAAGCTTCGACGGGTTCAGAAGTCTCTGAGATGTATGTTTGGTATTTTGCTGGTGTATTCTCTGTCTGTCTGATTGCTTAAGTGATATTTTGTTATCCTGCACCAGCAGTAATTCACTGTGACGCGCTCTCTGTGATACACCGATTAGCTGTGGCACATTTGTTTAGTCAGCGATCAAAAGCATCATGGCTCCCACCACTTTGCCTGGAAACAGTTGAAAAATAACCTGAGTGAAGTTGCCAAACGGAGCGCCGGCGATCCAGCCAAATTTGCAGCACCGTAATTCCACCACACTTTGCCCTATCTGAACAATTTCAACGGTTTCTGAAAGGGGAGAAGTTTTTCTTTCCAGACAATATCGGGTTATTATGGTAATTTTACGCCTGCGGTAGCAGGGAGTAAAATTAATCTGATGAAACACTCTCCGGTAAATCTTGAAAAAAAACTCGCTATATTGAGAAAGTTCCAGTTTTTATGGATAAATGGGCAAATATATATTTACTCACTGGACATTTAAATAACTTTGAACATTTAAAATAAGCAAAAATATCCAGGTGGAGATTTGAAACTTAGGTCACAAAGGGTTAAAGATATTAAGAAATGTTTCCAAAGGTCATGAAAGGTCAACCAGCCCCCCACTTTCTTCAAATCAGATAAAATTGGTGTCAATCAACACAACAGTAAAAGTTTGTGTTTGTGCTGCTTTGGCTTTGAAAATATTAATGAAAGTTTAAAGGTCAACCCACTTTTAGAAAATCAAAATGACCTTTAAACTTTCAATAATTTCTTCATAGCCAAAGCAGCACAAACATAAATTTTGATGCACAAACCAATCAATAAAGATAGTCGAGTTGATTGACACCAATTGTGTCTGAAGAACTTCAGTCAGGTTTGAAAACTTCCTGCTGTTGGGTTTGAAACGCAGAGGTAATCCTTATTGTCATCACATCCTTCCATTCTGCTTAATTGACTATTAATTGGTCCATTTAAGTTACAAAATGGAAGTTAATTAGTTTTAGCTGCTTGGTTGAAGCTTCATTGACGTCCCATTGGGGTCGATTCCTCCGTTCGGATAGTTTTTTTTCCTCCTTTTTCAGAAATCTGACCCCAGTTCAGCCCATTTTCACCTCCCATTCATTTTATTTCCTTTCTCTTTTCTCTCCCTTTTCTGCTGTAACCTTCCTGTAACCTTGCCTGCTTCCCACATACCAAGTCGCCATAATAAAAACTCAGCAAGCACGTAAAACCCTTTTCTGTCACTTTCTCTTTCCAGCTGTTATCTCACCGTCCTCGGGACTAGGAGTCGATATCGTTACTGGATTTAATTGCTCGGCTGCCTTGATAACTAGCGAATCCTCATTCTTCCTTGCCCTGAATGGCTGAGCAGAGCCACGTCGGAGCCCATCAAAAATGCATTTTTGGGTTATTCCCTCCCATCCTTCAAAATACTCCCCTTATCTCTCCTCTCTCTGTTCTACCTCATTATCACGCTATCCAATTATACCTGGCATCAACGGACACCCTTTTAGCTCCGCTCTCAGGGACGGGCCATCAAATTAGTTTAGAAGAGCGAAATCAAATTTGTGTCACTGCTCTTGAAACATATGGCGGGGCTTAAGTAGCCAAAATGGGTGAATAAGCACCGCTGTTGCGGCGTGGAAGAGGAGACTGCTGCTGCGTTCGCAGGCGAATTGAACTGATGTTTATATGCATGTTGATTTGAATGAAACAAGCACATTCTACGCTTTTTAGTCCCAAATGTAATGCACACGAACACCTCAGATTTGACCTTTTACCTTCAACAGCTGCTTTTCTCCAGGTTGCTTAAAAATGTAATAACTTACTTTGAACAGACAAAAAATAAAAGCAGAAAATAAATAATAAAAAAAATAATTATTATGGCCAGTGACATTCAGTTTAGCATCAGAACCCATCTCACACCAGATAAACTCTGAAATTAAAATTGTCATTATCACTGTTATTGTCTGTAGATCTTAGTTTGTAAGCATTTTGTCTATGTAATAAAATCTATTTGTCATCTTGAACAGGCACATGAATATGGTTTCAATTACAGATTTTCATAATTATTGAGCCATTAAGCAATATATTTCATTAGACTGAAATAAGTGTTCACTTCTTCCTACTCCTTTTCAAAAATAGTGGTAAACAAAATATTTTATTCTTGGTTATTTATGTATTCTGTGCCCTACTGATTATCTTGTTTTTAAAATCCTGTTTAAAATAAATCAATCAAATGAAATTCCCATATTGAATGACACTTAAACCTCACATTCTCATCCTTAAATCTAATATCATTTGTTAGTTGTTTAGGTATAACTAACCCCTAAATTAACTTTTTTGTTGATAACATGTCTAAATAGGTTATTTAGGGTTTATGTTTCTGTTAGAATTTCTGTGTAAATTTGTATTATTTTGCTTTATTTTTGCCTCTGACATCAACAGACCTGGTGGAACTGTTGAGCTCATTATTCGAGTTACGTCTCAGTGAAACGTTAGTAAAAAGGTTGTTAAAGGGTTAAAAGAGGAGCCATGTTGTGACGACTTCCTGAAGGCGGAGTCTCAGAAAAATCCAGGTGGAAAAATTCAAAACCGTTAGATTACAAAGTTAATTTCTTTTAAGTCAGAGAACAATTGTTTGTGTGTAAACACAGCGGAACTTGTGTGTTGTGTTCAGTGGACTTGGTGGCGCTCAGCAGCCTGGTGGACGTGTTTCGGGAGCAGGAGCTGCAGCAGGGGGAGCATGTGATGGACGTAGTGGAGGTGATTCACGGCCTGACGGCCATGTACGAGAGGCTGGAGGAGCAGAGGTCCGTTCTGGTCAACATCCCTCTCTGCGTTGATATGTGCCTCAACTGGCTGCTCAATGTTTATGACAGGTGGGTGTGGCTCTTTCTGTCAGGGTAACGGTTTGCAGTTTAGGCTGTAGCTTGATGAAAGGTTTATCCATCCAGCTTACAAGGATTCCCTCTCTCCCATTTTATTTTTACAGATATTACCTTTCGTTTTCAGTTCATCTTGCACAACCAGCGGTTACCAATGACAGATAAACTATAGTTCTCTTATAAATATGATTAACTAAATGATCAAAACTTTTATGTCTTCAAAAAATTTTTATAAAAAGATGGTAAAGGACCTAAGAACTCACCACTCTATTTCAGTTTATCATAATGCTGAAGTTAATACCAAAATCTCTCAAAGTGTTAACTTAAAATATTTGTACATTTTCCTTTTGTCTTTCTCCCTCACATATTTGTTTTCATTTGGATTGTACTTATGCATCTATGTGATGCTGAACTTGAAAATGTTTCCACGATTGCTTGAATAATTTTTATTATTTCCCAAAAGCCTGGCATTTTAAGATATGTGTTCACTCTTTTGATATATTCTGTAATTGTCAGGTTAGAAAAAGATAAATAACATGGTGGAGAAGTCTGGAGTGTTAAATGCATCCAGCAGTAAGTGGCACTAATTTCTCTCATTAAATGCTCATTAAATTTGATGTTGCACTGAGTCAACAATTTTTCAGAAGATTAAATTCCCTCAAATGGATTTTATTGCAGAACAAAGACAATTCTCTGTTTTCTCCTGAATGTTGTTGGTGTCTAAATGTGAATCTAGACTATTAAAAAGTTTTAACTGTTCTAAACTTTTAGTTCTTAAACAAGTGAACCAAAGATTAAAAAATTGTATATTTAATAAACCATATGTATTTTTTTTCTCAGCGTTTTTGATCTCCTTTGTCTTCATGAGATGTTTTAAACTATTTCAGAAAGCAGCACAACTCCACCTTAACCTTTACTACGTCAGGGTTTTCATCTGGAAAATGCGTATTATACCTGAACCCATCATTTATTCTCCATCAAAGCAGAAGAATCAGCTTTTTCAAAGAGTCTTACATTTAAATTCACCAGCATTTCTTCACAGTATGCCTCGGAAACTTAAATTTTTATATTTTCATGTACTGGTATGTTTCTGTTCTATTCATTGGAAACATTTGTGATCATTTTTATTCTGTTTGTATTGTTTTAAGTGCTTTGAGATGCATTTTTTTAAAGGTACGACTTGACTAAACAAAATTTGTCGTATTTGAGGTCAATGTCCAACATGACTCATCACAACCTTTTCCCTCTCAAACCTGTTTGACCTTTGAAGGTTTCTGTAGTTCATTGTCAGCCTGAAAAGGTCTTGCACATATAAAATTTCTGGCTTCTTCTTTGAATCAGTACTTCATTATTCAAGAGAGACTAATCAATGCGCCCAGCTAGGATTTACTCTCTTTTTTGATTTTATTACTCTCTTATTTGTACATACAGCTCTGGAAAAAAAAAGAAGAGTTTTTCAGATTTTGCTGTGTATAGGTATATATTTGAGTAAAGTGAATGTTGTTCTTTTCTTAAATAAACTACTGGCAACATGTTCCTGAGATCCCAAGTAAAAATGTTTTATTTGCAGAAAATGAGAAATGGTCATTGCAGCACTTTCAGACCTCAAATAATGCAAAGAAAACAAGTTAATATTCATTTAGAAACAACAATACTAATGTTTTAATTTAGGAAGAGTTCAGAAATTAATATTTGGTGAAATAACCAGGAGGTTTTCAAATTTGGTTCTTTGCAGTGGGCTCTTCATTTTTTCCAGAGATGTTTATTTTCAAATTTGACCAAATATGGTCAACGCTGTCTCAGAAAGTGCAAAATAACTCTGGAAATACCGTCCTGAGTTGGAAACAATCAAGTGTTTTAAGTCTAACACTACATTTGATAATAATGAGATCATTTTTAGGTCACTTTTATGTTTTTAACAAAGTATTTGAACTATGTCTCAGCAGAAAGGATCTAGTCAGGAGTTTGTTTTTCCCTAGCTAGCATAAAGTTGGCTTCACATGATAATGAAAAAACATCAGCAGCAATTTCTTTCAGCATTACAAATGTTGCTGTGAAATCTTAAAGTCCTTCTATTCTTTGAAATGTTACAAGTAGCTCCACATTTATGGGCATTTTGTGAACTTAAATGTGTTCATGGGCATCAGAAATGTACTTTATTATTGTGTTGCTGCCTTATTTCATGTCTTGTAAGAGCTGCTTCTTAGGAGTTGCAGGAAAACAGATTGGAGACGGATGTGAGCCGTCACGTGGCTACTTTCTCAGACGTTTAGGAAGACTGCGAACGGCTAAAGCTGCAGTAACAGCTTCAAGCCAGAGGGTCAAACACAACCAGAGCAAATCCTCTTTGACACCAGAACTCACCCAGCTTTGTTCCTGTTTGTCCCATCTTCAGGAAAAGCCCCACAGCACAGAAAGTGAAACATAAGACAGCTGCAGCGAAAGCCATATATCCGGTCTGTAGCTTTTAACCATTCTCTGCTAATGAGAAACAATCAGCGGCTTCGTCGTCTGAATAAATTTCAGTAATTGCTTTTTGTTCCCTAATAAACAGCGGCAGGAAATGTGAACGAGACTTGAGCTTAATTTTGTGCTTGTGAGGAGAAAATGTGGTTTACGGCGAGCGTGTGTATATGTTTGTGTGTACTTCCGGAGGCTTGTCAGGGAGAAACGTGTCCCCTGAGGAGCAGCACTGGGATGCACATTGAAGATGGCATGAGGTGCACAGTAGAAAGTGTGAGAGAAAGATACTGACATCCAGTCGTCACCATGTGCTCTGTGTCTCCTCTGGTCCTGAATCTAACAGGGAAGCAACAGTGACTCACCACTTTATGTCTTTCCTTGTCACATATATATATATTTGTGCATTTTTAATGTGCGTACATTTTTAGAAACTTGTCATATACAGACCTATACTCCTCCAGGCCAGCATTCAGCTGCAGAAATGAAATTTGCGCTTTCATCTAATTTGACCTAATGTTCTTTGATGAATCCAATGTTTTTGATCCTTCGTGTGACATTTGAAATGATAATTTGATTAGCACAGTTTTTGCTAATGCTGCTAAGATCTGCATAAACTTTTTGGAGGCTGTTTGGAAACAGCAATCACATGGTTAGTTCTCAAATTAAATTTTTTCCCGTTTTATAAATCAAAAATGTATTGCCTGTTTGAAAACTGTCTGTTCTTCATTCAGGGAAATATTTTTCAAATGAGGTTTGAACAGTACTTTCAAGGTATTTCATGATGTCACCGAAAACTGTAACGTATTTTATGTGAGGGACAAAGACAATGAAGCATAATAGGTTTTCAGTTTTTTCTTTTTTATTAAAATTTTTAAAAGTGCGTTTTATGTAATGTTGAGTCAATACTTTGTAGAATCTCACTTATCATCTGCAGAGTGTCTTCAGTCAGGGGCTTCTTCATTTTCGCTGTAATACAGACTGCTACAAAAGATCTTTCCTGCCAAGAGCCATCACCATCTTCAATAACTGAACAATCTGAATTAATATGAGTTACAGCTAGATTTAATTTCCGTTGTGGATCAATAAAGTATTTTTGAATTTATTTAGAGACTTGCACTGAAATTCTTGCATAATGTTTTTAGGTTGTTAATGAATTTCAGTCTTCAAGTGCTTATCTCGATTAAACTTGGATTTGGACTTATTCATTTTATGCCATCGTTTTTTTTCCTCCTTTTATAAGTTCTTGCAGCAGCACTTACTTCAGCAGCTGCCGCACCAATATGTTGTTACATTCCTGCCAAAAACCTCAAGGAGCTTATTAAGGAATCACATCAGCAGATTTATTAACTAGAGAGCACATAGCTCATGATGGGAATTTCTCTTAATTTGCAGGACTATGAATGCAACATGGTGAGCGGTAAAACTCGCCTACCTCCACCTGGATTTGACCTGAAAAGTCAGACAGTCTAATCAATCAGAAGAGTTTCCTTGCCTAATTATGATTGTTAAACTCAGAGAGGTGCACAACTTTCGTGCTGCATTCTTGGGCCTGCAAATAAATGGAAATGCCTGTGATCAGATGTATGTTTTTTTTCAGTTCTCTGTCAGGGTTTTTGGCAGGAATGTGACGCCATACTCTTGGCAACAAAGTATTCTAAGAACAGAATGTGCCACGCATATTTCCATCAACTCTAGGGCCGATTACGATATCAAATTCTTATTTCAAGTACTTAAGAAAAAAAAATATTATTTTCCTTTTACCTTTTAAATATACCAGTGTTGTTCTGCTGCATATAATACTGATAGAAATATTAAAGTCTTTGGTGGCAAAATGTAAAAAATTAATGGCAGAATAACTTTACAAGGTGCTTTATTGATGTATTTTATCTGGCATATGAGATTTGTATTGCTTTTCTGGGCATAAAATTCTTGGACCACACTTTACCAATTCCCTGAAGAGCCTTTACTTACTCTGAATGTCCTCTAATGCAATTTCACACTACTTCACTGACCTGAATTGTGCTGCTGTGACCCGTGTAATTCTTCCCAGCAGGGCTCTGTATTATACAATCCACAACGCAGTGATTCGAGATTGTCCACCTTTTAAAAACTGTAATCTCAGAAGTTTTTTTTTTCCCCTCATCCTCTCTGCGTTTCTTTCCTGCAGTGCACGAAACGGCAAAATGCGAGTTCTCAGCTTTAAAATGGGACTGGTGAGCTTGTGCAACGCAGACGTCCAGGAGAAGTACAAATGTAAGTCTGATGCTTGTTTGTGTCGGTAAGTGCATCTTATCGACTGAAAAGAAAGATCCAAAATAAAACATCCCTGATTGCCAGTATTACAAGACATCCACTTAGTGTAATGGCGGAGAATGGTTATGTTGCCATAATGAAGAAAGCTTTACTTGCTGCACCACAGACCTTAAAAGGATTGCTTGCAGGAGTCACTTTCTTAAGGCTTTTACTTTTTCAAACAAGTCAACTTTAAAATAACTTTAGCACTCCTTGTCTGTCCTATGGAAATGATTCATGTTTAATGCAGCATTTGTTCTTAAAAGTTCTTACTATTTCAAGTGGGATTCTCTTGAGAGACTCTGAGCAGTCAATATTTTACCAGGTAAAAATAAATGTTCTTCAACTTATTAAACACAATTTTTTTTTCCATAAGTTATTTTGAACAACTAGTTTAAAGCTCCGGTAAGTATTTTTTGTAAAAATACAGGTTTTGTTTTACATATTTGAGCTGAAAGCATGATATGACACAGATAATCTGTAAAAAAGTAGAGTGCTGCTATTCCTCTTTCCTGCGGTCCTACTGCCACCTGCAGAAGTGCACTTACTGCTACCAAATAATACTATTGGTGAACCTCTGATTAAATATGAACTAATTAAAATTAAGATTAGCACACAAGAAGGTTAAACAATAACATGCTTCACAGCCCAGTTTAGCATATTATGTTTCTGACTGACTCTTGTTAAATTCACCAACAAAATTATCTCTAGATAATTTGGTTTGTATTTATGCTTTCTTATAGTGCATCTCTTGTTCAGTGTGATGCGTACTAAATTTTTTTTCCAGTTTTCACATCAGAAAATGTGTTCACTCCTTTTAAATTAATGAGTCTATATAGAGTCTGATCTGAATATGTTCTGAAAATGTAATTTTTGTCCACAGCGTTTACAGAATTGAAAATCTCAGCAGTGAGAAAACTGCAGTTCTTGTGCTTTTGTGTCGAACCAGTGGTTCCTATTATCTCACCATACAGTCTGCACAATGAAAGCGGCATATTTAAGATGTAAGAGGCCGATATGCTGAGAAACTGTCTCCATAAAACATGTCCAGAGCTCCACTCAGAAGCTTTGTGGGAATATTTAAAAACATCAAATAGGCCTCAGCTCTGGTTACGAGGACGATTTGAAGGAGGCTATTTAAGATGCAGGCGTTGGAGCCAAACGTTCGCTCTTTGTGGAGAGATATAAACCTGCAAAGAGGGGGGATACATGCAATGCTGCGATTGTGCAGCACTCTGACACGCCTGTCAAAATTCATTTCTTCAGCGACAGGCAGACTCCAAGCATAGCAAAAGGCTCGGTCAGAACTTGACAAGATGGCTTTTGTGCAGGTCTTTCATCTCTAAAATAACCAGGAAGATCATTAATAGAGATTTATTCCCAGTTTAAAATAGACAAAAGCTACTTGATTTTGGAATAAATGCAGAGTTTTAAAGTCAGCAAGTGTCCTCACGCAGAGGAAAGAAAAATACAGACACGTGTGTGGCTAATGCTATTCGCTACACATCGTATAATGATTGCTGCTGCATGTGCCGGTGTGAAATTAGATTAGTTAGTGCGTAATTGATGGATAACTGCGTAAACGTTTTGCAGACTTGTTCCGTCAGGTGTCCGGTCCTGGAGGTTTGACAGACCAGCGTCACCTCAGCCTGCTGCTACATGAAGCCATCCAGATCCCCCGCCAGCTGGGCGAAGTTGCAGCTTTCGGCGGCAGCAACACGGAGCCAAGCGTCCGGAGCTGCTTCCGCATGGTGAGGACACGGCCGCATTAGTGCATTTCACGCCCAGGTCCATTAACAGATGTGCTTAGAGCTCTGGAGGTTGATTCAATAGATTTTTTTAAATTTTATATAGCAGTGTTGGAGGCTTAGGCTGCATCTTTAAAGGGGCAGTATGAGCTTTACATCATGTTTTCCCTCATCAAAAACACCTTTATTCCTTCATTAATGGTTGGGAAATCCTTTCATCTCCATGGCAACCGTTCAGCCTGGGTGGGCCTACCCCCGCCTTCAAGATGAAACTCCTCATCGGAGCTGCAGATTCCAGGTTTCCAAGCTTCCAACTCTCAGCTCCTTCAGACTAGCCAGCAGCAATTAGCAAACACCTGGTGGGACAGTGCATCAGCTGAGCTTATTAAATGAGCTACTTTTCTGATCAATGCTGGTAAAAACGATGTTAATGGGTTGGCAGAGGACCGATGTGATTACTTTTTAAAGGTATTTTCAAAGAGACAGAAGCCTAATTTTAAGGTGTTAAATTACAAATTAAGTCATATTTGTTATATAAAGCATTTTTATATCTACTGTAGCTTGCAGATTTACTTGACTGTTCTATAAAATGCCCTAGAAAATACATAACATTGCCCCTAATCTGGTGTAGTTCACATGTTTGAAAGGGATATCTCTATTACTTTTGCAAGAACTTTCTCTGAGCATCGGGATGAATTATCTGGAATGTAAAAGTCTGTAAGACGAATTGTCAAGAGAACGCCCGCCAAAACTGGAGATCAAAGTTGAAATGGTTGATCTTTATTTACGTCACCTGGTTTGTTTAAAAAAGACAATTAACAGACGAACTGAACTGTGGCGGAGAGGTCGAGGTGTCGGCGCCTCTCTATATCAAAGCTTTCTAAGTCTAACACTACATTTCAGAGCTGTTTTCAAAGTAAAACAAACAAAATTAAACATGTAATTTCTAAAAAAGGAAATGCAAAAAATTTAAAATTAGACTGGCTGCTTTGGGAATTTACCTTTCTTTGTTTTCCACTCAAGAAAAAAAAATATTATGCTTGTGCTTTAAATAATTCATTATGTTTTTATCATTGCATTTAATAAGTCACAGAAACAAGATTCGTCTTTCCTATCAAGATTAAGCCAAGAAAATGTAAATTTAATCATCTGCCACTGATTTAGGTCAACAAATGAAAACGGAAGGCAGCAGAAGATTATTAACCAATCAAACTCTCTCAGTTTCCAATAATATTCTCATGGTGCACAATGTAATCCCGTCAGTAACGGCTATATCAGATGAAGCTCTTTGAAAGTATTCTGTTTCTCCTTGTGTTTATATTTACTCTGAGATAAAATTAGAGTGACCCAGGGACACTTGATATTTCTCGATACTGTTCGTCTCCACTTCATGCTGATTGTTAAACTGAAATGACAGAAAGACAGGAAACAGCTACAACAAAGCAGGCTGCATAAAATAGTTGCTAAAAAACAGTGAGCAGAGGAAGGTCTCTGCAGAGGTTATTTGGAAAAATCCAGGCAAGAAGTAAGAATAATTCATCTTCCAATAAATATTTCAGTACTTTCACAGCATTCAAAGGTAAAGAACTTAAATAAATGAAACAAAGTAAGTTGGGAAATAGAAAACCCTACAGTATTTTTCATATAGAAGAGGTTGTATCAATCAAGCTAAATTTCCCAGTGACAGTGAACATCCCATCCGTTTGAGGCGGAGTAGCCTGATCGGGTGAGCAGCTCCAGTTTCAGGTGTTTTGGTGAGGAAGAAGCTGCCATTCGACCTCCCACTGGGAGCCAAGCTGGGTACCCTGCTAACAGAGAGGAGCTCCTTCATCCCTGGAGACCCCACATCCTCTCCGCCTGTGATCAGTGCACACACTCACATGCATTTATTATGTTACCCTGCTTGAGCAGTGGGGGCAGCCCCAGGGAAATCAACTTTCTTATGCATCTCTGATGCAGACTTAATGAGAATTTAGCACATCACAGATTTTGAGCACTTGGCGAGTTATTCCTTTATTAGGTTGGCTTTCTTTTTTCTTCTTTTTTTTTCAAACAAGCTTTCTTCAGGAGAGCGAACATGCAAACTCACAGTAACCCCTGTATAATTTATGTCTGTTATATTTTTAGCTTTGTAAATGCTTAAGCATATATGCAGCATAAAAGATTTAATGTTTGGCACCCTCTTCAATATTGGGATGATTTTGCTGAAACTGCCTTTAAGCAGGAAAGAATTGTTGCTGTTTTTATTGCTTTAAGAACATGGCCTCCTGTTGGTCTATATTTGGGTTGTTTACAGTCTCTTGTCTCTTACCTTTTCCTAACAGGCCCCTGGGAAGCCTGCCATTGAGGTGTCTCATTTCCTGGAATGGATGAGCCTCGAGCCCCAGTCGATGGTTTGGCTGCCCGTCCTGCACCGCGTAGCTGCTGCAGAGTCCACCAAGCATCAGGCCAAATGCTACGTCTGCAAGCAATGCCCCATTAAGGGTTTCAGGTAGGCATGGCTGCTGGGCATTCAATTCAACCAAATGGATATTTACATGTAAAGGTATCGTTAGTGGATCAAATGATTAAAACAGATATTTGTTTTTATATTTTAGAAGTGGAAAATTAGACTTTTGCTTTATAAGGTAACAACAAATCTGTGCTATACAGATACCTGTCCTTGTTGCACCTTTTAACAGTGTCAGAAATAAACATAAATTTGGGGCCTTTGTAAAGCAGTATTATTTTAAACGAACTATTGTGCAGAATTCATATTTTGCACTTTCGTTTGGGTTTCAGATGTTTTTTTTGTTTTTTTTTTTTTATAACTTAATGGTTGTTTGGTTTCTGGAAAAAGAGCCATTTCAAAAATATCACACTGCCCCATTACCTAGCAATCCCTGCCGATCTTAGCTCATTACTTAGCAATCCAAGTGGAGCTCCAGCATGTTTGGTCAGCTGACTTTACCACTGTATGCGCTGTACAATGACTGCTGGGAAAGACAAGTGTTTTATTGTTGACCTATCATTCAGAAACCAGTTGCTGCATTCTTTTTGGTTATGCAGGAGGCTCTGCTTCTGCCTTTCAAAGATGTGATTTTGGGTAATTGTTTGCAGCCATTTTCATGTGTGACTATAAATGTTGAGTTGGGGGCGTGGCCAGCAGCAGTTTATTAGGATTTAAATTGACGAGGCCTTAAAGGTATGAAAGGTCACCAGTTGTTAGAAGGGACTTAAAATTAGAATTCTAGGAATGATGATTTACATATATTGAATAAACTAATAAATTTGATATTTTCAGTTGTTAGGTCATTGTGAAATGTGTGAATTTTTTGTGTTGTTCTATGATATCTCTTTTGCTGTTTCTGTTGAAGCCATTACATTGATTTGAGAGATTTCATTAAGATTTGTCCTCAACTTAAGTTAAGCCTATTAGTCATTTTAACAACACCAAAAACCCAGGGTTTTGTATAGGAAATCAAACGTCTTTTGTGTGAGTGTGCAAAGAAATATTAGCCTCTACAGCATGGCTGAGATAAGAACACACACACACACACACACACCCAGCCGCTCTACCACTCCATTCAGTTCCCCTGCAAACATCGTTAAAGTCTCTGTTTTATTGATCTCGACAGGTATCGCAGTTTGAAGCAGTTCAATGTGGACATCTGCCAGACATGTTTTCTAACCGGCCGCACAAGCAAGGGCAAGAAGCTGCACTACCCCATCATGGAGTACTACACCCCAGTAAGACGAGCATTATGTATCACTTTACCAGAATACAAATTCATGTCTTTAGGGAGAAATGAAGCTCAACTTTACTCAAGAACAAAGTACATTCTCCTAACTCCCTATTTCTTCTGCCAAGCATGAATTAAGGATCTTATTGACTCTATCTATTTGTCCAGCTCTTGAATAAACGGAGAGAGAATCACTTAGTAGAAAATTTATTTTTGGCTCATTTTTGGTTCAGGAATGTTTGGAGCACAAATATTCAGAAAAACCCATGAATCATCAGTACAGTGAGCGCAAATATAATAAAATCTGTTAAATTTCAAGATTCAAAATCCCAACAGTATTTTTATTTTCTGCAAAAATGTTTTTATATCACAGAGTACGGTTCTTGCAGCAGGAAAGCAAATAAAAATTACTCAAACAGATATGATGAAAACCGGAAGATTTTAAACAGAGCAATAATCTAGAGACAGTGGATAGAAAGAAACATTAGTATTGGAAGAAAAAAAGTGGATAAATTTTACATGAGGTTTTCTCTGGAGATGGCAACTCTAAAGCAGCACAATTTGTCTTTCAATCATCCATGCCCTGTGCTTCAACCTCCACTTTTCACCCCCTCCTCCACTCGCTTCCCTGGACGGCGGCAGACAACCTCGGGAGAGAAGATGAGGGACTTCGCTAAGACTCTGAAGAACAAGTTCAGGTCAAAGCAGTACTTTACAAAGCACCCGCAGAGAGGTTACCTGCCTGTGCAATCTGTACTGGAAGCTGAAAGCTCAGAGACGTGAGTCCCACAACACACATCCATCCCTTTGTGTCTTTTCTCAGATGCTCCGCTATGCAGACAGGCAGAATTGTATACATTTATTTACTTGAGACAAATGTGTTAGTTTAACAATAAATCAACGGGGATCTATTAAACAAAATTCACATTTTGCATGTTTTTATACTTCCATTTGTGTTTCTACTGCTTCTAAAAACAGCACAAGTGATTAAAAACACCAAACTGTTTTGGCAATAAGTTAATGTTTTTTCTTGGTGTCTGGAAAATTAGCCATTTAAAAAAATTAGCTAACCTCTAACCTCCCTAGCAAAACCCAGCCTGTTGCCTAGCAACCACAGTGGAACTCCACCTGTCACTTAGCAACCACAGCTGAGCTCCAGCATGTTTGGTCAGCTGGTTTTACCGCTGAATGCGCTGTACAAAGTCATGTGTTTTGTTGTTGACTTACCATCCAGAAACCTCTTGCTGCATTCTTGCTAGCTGTGCAGGAGGTTCTACTACTGCTTTTCAAAGATGTATGATTGTACAGTCACTCATCTGTCATATTTTTACTCTTGTTTTGAAAGTCTGATTTATAATATACTTTCCACCAATGACAAAGTAAACATTTTTACTCTTTCTGCAAAATAAACCAACTGCACAATTCTTGCTAAGTAATATTTCAAAAGAGCAGAGGAAATCTCATTTTTTTTAACAATAACAACATTTGTTGTTAATCTGTTGCTAAGAGATGAGCCTGTTTTCTGGTAACAAAGTGCCACAAAGTAAACATCTGATTTTTAGTTTTGTAAAATTTACCAACTATAAATTTCTTGTGTCTACGCAGATGAATAGTATTTCAAAAGAGACTGTTTTATAAGCAATAACTTTACATGATGAGCATAGCAGTTCATTACCAGAAAATGCACTCATCTCTTTGCAACCGATTACAAATTGTTATTGTTCAAAAAACATGAGATTTTTAAACCGATAAAACAAACTTGGCCCCATGTGAAAATATAATTGTCTCTGTGAACATTTTATAAAAAATTAAGTTAAGATTTTATTCTCCACGTCTGAGTACTGCCAGAAATGTACAAACAAGAAATCACTTGCCTTTCTGACGACAGGACTAAAATATTTCCAAAGCAGCACATCGCCTTGAATCAAAAGGTTACACAGTTGTTTCTAAGGCTTCAAAACTCCTTCAGGCCAGTGAGAGCTATTATCCACAAATGGAGAAATTATTGATCAGTAGTAAACCCTCTCTTCGGCTCATTCAGGAGGTCACAAAAGAATTCAAAACAAATATAAAGCACTCCTGGCCTGACTGGCCTTGGTTGAGATCAGAGTTCATTACTGAACAAGAAGAAACTGGGAAGAAATGGCGTTGGTGAGAGAGCTCCACTGCTGAGTGAGAAAGACGCAATGACCCAGAAACATTTTTATCAGTCTCTCTATGGGTTCCCAATACATTTTTTTTTGTACATTAAAGATAAAAACAATAAGTTTTCCCCTACGCTACTCTATCTTGCAATAAAATAATTTGAAAAGGAAACAATAAGATAACAGCTAAAACAAATAGCTCCCAATGTTAGTGTTACTACAGAATGAAAAAGTCATATAAAGGTTTTTAACAGATTTGTCATCAAGTTGGCTTCTTTTCATCGGAGAAGGAAATGGAGCAGGCTGTAAACTTTCCAGCTGAAGTTCAAGATTAAACTGCTTCCTGGTGCCCAAAGGATTGTGTGTAAAAATGATGACAGACAAGTGACTTAAGGCCGGGTCACTAAAAAGAAAACCTGAATGCGACATTAAGGTGAACAGAGCTGCGCCCCACGCTGACTAACTGCATCTTAACACCTAAAATAAAACTGTTTACGTCAGGCCGTCTACCTGCTGAAAGAAGTGTTTTTGCCAATGCATCTGAAGTCTGTTCTTCTTTTATTGTGCACAATGTGGTAGTACTGTTTTTTAATAGAACAAAAATGTACATTTTGAGCTTTTTATTGGTTTATTTAAAGTGAGATTTCTGCTGTTGCCCAACAACCCAGCACATTTAACAAAGCAACAAGATGACATTTATTTTGCCTTTAAGTGTTTTTTCTACTGTAATAAGTTTTTATTTTACATTAAAAAGTTTACTGAGGAAAAATAATTTTGTTTTATAAACTGAAACAAAACTAAATTATGAAATATCTGCTGCATCCTGAAATATACATATATTGCTTTGAACTGATTTCAAAGCAATATATGTATATTTAAACATATATTTAACCATAAAAGATGTTTTTACTTTCATCAACTTTTATTTGTTGTGTTTTCTTGTGAATATTTTCTGATAATCCCCAAAACAGTTGAAAGTTATTTCTCTGTGTTCTTGACATTAGCCTTGTGATCTCACTCTGATTCAGGCACATTTCACATGAGCAAGTCTGCTGGAAAAGAAAAGCAGAACTGGAGTAGTGAGATAAAAATCTGTGAGCTCACCGTGAAGCAGTAGCCTCAGGTTACAAGAGCACCCAGAATGATGTAGCATGAGTTCATGTTTCACGAGATTGTGTCATTGTTTTATAACCTCTAAAATTAAAGAAACACCACTCAGAACAGATATAAGACTTTCTGAGGATCAAATAACATGGAGAAAAAGGAAGCAGCAGCTGATTAAGTTTAGGGGAAAGGATGCAAAACTCTCCTTTCACAATTTCCTTGAGTAAAATGACAATTAATATTGAAAAAAACATTACTTACATATAATCATTAAGTATTGCACTGGTGGCATTACAATGGGCTTCCAACATGTCTGGCTCTAAAAATATCACAATACATTTGAAGAAACATTTGGAGTCGCAGCACGATGCAGTCAGACAGATCAGCAAGCAGAGAGCTGCGACGAAAAGGCAGGAGGTCCCAAACCAAAACTAAAAAAAATTTAACTTAGCTCCAAAACCAGCAGGAGGGGGATATTATCAGCAGCTGAAAGCTTAGAGTAACTAATAATCTAACTTAGTTACCTTTAAAATCAAGTAATTAATAAAGTACTTTTTCAAGGTAAATATGCCTTTACTGCTTTTGTCCAGTGGCAACATCCAGTAACTTTGAACAAGAAGTAACTTTTCAGAAAGAAATAACAGCTTGTATTAAGTCAATAATTCCTTAATGTTGATGTAAAGTTTCTTGTTACATTAGTAAACTATTTTACTTTTAACAAGAATTGTGTCCCATTTTATTAGTGAAATAATCAGCTAATAGAACTAGAACATTTTCATCAATATTAAGGAATTATTTGCTTAAAACAAGTAACTATATCTTGCTGACAAGGTATTTTGTCTTATTTCAAATGAACTACAATATTTGCACTGGAAACTTGACCAAAAACACGCAAGATTTTGTATTTTTACAATGTAGGAAACACAGCTAGTGACATTTCCAGTTTTTATCACAGCAGAAGAATAAAGTGAGCATTTCTAATCACAAACACTTAAATGTTACTTCTTACACCCAGAACTAAATGCCTGCAGTAACTTTCCGTTTCCCTCCTGCTGTGTCTTGCATTCTGGCCTTTTGTACTGTTTCATATTGAACTAAGGTGGGTTTTTTTACTGAGGAATAATGACTTTGAATTTTCTTCTTTTCAGCCCTTGCTCCTCACCCAGGCTGCCCCATGCAGACACACACAGCAGGATTGAACACTACGCCAGCAGGTAGGAGCCTTGCTCCGCTGTGCTGCTATATATATCAGCTCATTACTGTACAACGTTTTCTCCTTCTCTTTCACTTCCCCTCTTCATATAATCCCCCTTTCCTCCTAATGCACTCTCTCTGTACTCCGTCCACCCTTTCTCCTCCCTCACCAATCTTTTAGTCTTTGCTGATTGCGGTATTGATTTAATTTCTGGTTCTCTAGCCAGCTCTGAGGTTGCAGTCGCTCTTTCCCCTCACACACACATTTAAACTCAAGCGCAGCAGTTTGCGTTTCCCTGTGAGTGTCTGTGAAGGTTAGCAAGGTTCAGCCTGCCCAGCGGCCTGTCACTTGCCGGGGCAGTGAGCCCATTGGTCACCTGGGAGCTGTCGGTGTAGATTAGAGTCTCGGTGACAGGTTATAAACAGACCACAGTCCTGGACTCCCACACTGCTGGCAGAGCTGCACTGTGGGCATAGCTGGACACGTAGATCCCTCTCCAATGTGCCTGCGGTGCATGAATGGAAAGAGAGTGTTCATGTGCTTGTATGTGTGCTATTGTGTAATACTTCCCTGAGGATCTACTCACTTTACATCCTGCCAAAACAAGAGCAACAGACAGCAATGAGAGCAGGCACTATTTTCATCTTTACCCCCTTGCTTTCCCCTTCCAACTCTTCTTTGTTTGCCTTTGTCTTTGATCCCTTTCTTCTTTTGCCTCCTGCACATTTATTGTTCCCTTTATTCTCATCCCATTCTCTCTGTTTTTTGAGATATTTTCTGCCACATTCTCTATATCTAATTGGTTTTGTCATATTCTATATAATTTTGTTCAAACAGCCTGTGGGTTGTGTTGGTCACTGAAAACTAAGCAAGTATTTCTGGTCTAGCTTTTAACAAAATTGTCTTATTTCAAGAGTACTAACTGGGAAGTTAGTTTTCATGAAGATAAAGGAGATCATTTCAAGTAAATAGAGTAGATTTTCATCTTACTATTGAAATATTAATATTAAATTGATTATGAAGTCTTTGTACACAAAAATATTAAAAAAGAGTATTGAAGACCAGGTTGAAAACACCAGGTTTATCAGTTTTTGATGAAAAGAGGGAAAAAGATAAAAACGATAAATCAACCAAATTAAAATTACATTTCTTTTTATTTCATTATGTGATTAATTTACTTTTTGTTTATTTTGACAGGGCTGCATATTTGTACTAGAAACTGGATCAAATGTACAAATAAATGAACTGCGTGAAGTTCATTTATTTGCGAAACTCCCAGTAAATAAATTGAGTTGCAACGTGACAAAATCTGAAAAACTAAATTATTTTGCAAACCACCTCAGTTAGCTGTGTTTAAATTAAACAGTGTCTCATGGGGAAAGGTCATTTAACTTTCAGTCTTCCTTTAAACTTTTTTTTTTACAAAAGACTATGTGATATTAAGTCAATTTTTATGAAATTATATTAGACTTCTCTGAATCATTGTGGTTCAAAGACGGTCCATTGATCTGGTGTACTGGATGATTACAGCGACAGCTCCACTTTATTCACATGGGAGGAGAAAATGAGCGAAGACCAAACTCACTTGTTCATTAACATGATTCAAGTGGAGTCATTATCGGGATTAATAGTCTTTGATATGCTCTCTTACTTTTATTCTGACAGGACACATTATTTTCTCCTGCTTACTTGGTTTCCTTTCCTCTTATGGAAAGGAAAGAGCGCATTGCAGTTCTTATTTGAATTCACTCAGTCGTAACCTCCACTCACTGTTCACTTTGAACAGCAATGGAAAACCACGCTTATATCAAAATAAAAGTTACCATTGCTGGCAGGTCAGCTTTTTCAGAATTCATTGATCTGGTGTACTGGATGATTACAGCGACAGCTACACTTTATTCACATGGGGGGAGAAAATTACGCATTAGGTAAACCCATGTATGTTGGTGTCAAAGTGCTCGTTTGGTGGAGAAATGAGCACTTTTCTCGTTTCTCCACAAGAAACGAGAAATATCAGAGGTTGGCTGATATTTTGCTGTAATTTATTTCATATTTTTACTTGAAAGGAAAAAAAATCTTCTAATGCAACAAGTATCTTTTATTTGTATCAATCTTTGAGAATTACTGACTTAATTCTTGGGCATTAAGTCAGTAATTTTGCTGAAAAGCAGAGGTGGACAGAGTATCTAAAACTTGTAAGAGTAGCTATACAATACTATACTATGCTATACTTTCAAGATTGATTTTGAGGAGTTCAAGAATGATGGCATTCCATTAAATTCATATGGGCCTGTTAGTTTAACAACTGGTTCCACTGGTCCCAGATTTTTTGTGCTGTAGGGGGTGTCCAGTGTATTTTGTCTTTCACTGTGTGGAAGTGTGTTTGTGGGATTGGTGGGATTATGTGGTGGTGTAGTTTTTGGCAAGTTGACCTGATGGTTTCGTTAATCATGGTGAGGTTTTGTTTTTGTATGAAGCTAAGTTCATCTGAGAAGTTAAGGAGTGGTATGTAGATATCTGCGTGTGGAAATGTGCCCTGGGCTGTGATTAAGAGTGTTGTGAGTAGTTTTTGTGTTGTTGTTTGGTCTCTGTAATCTCTGTTGTTAATGCCGAAGGAGAGGAGTACTTTTTGGGTTTCACTGGTGGTTTTGGTTGTTATGAGAATGTGGTTAGCATGTTTGATTTGGGCTCCAGGATAGCAATCTATTTGCATGTTTGGGTTGGTGGCTCTAGGTAGTCTTTTGAGGTTGGAGTCTCCTAGGATAAGTATGGGTCTATCGGGTTTTAGACGCCAATTTTCTAGTTTGTTTCCGAAATGATTGTGGGTGGTGAAGAGGGCATTGGGGGTTCTTGTTACCGGTTTTAGGGGGATTTTTTGGATTTTTTCGAGTGTTGGTGTGTTAGAAGCGGAGGGTTCCTGCAAACTGTAGATTAGGCCCGGTTTTGATTTGGTGGTTGTGTTGTGGTGTGGGTATTGTGGATGTATTTGGGGTTCGGTGGCCTCTTGGTTTGAGTTATCTGTCCCTGTTGCTTTTTGTGTGTGTGGGCGGGATATGTGGGTCCCTTGTGTTTGGTCGCTATTCATTTCATTTTCCTTAAAGTGTTTGTCCTGAACCTGTTTTGATTCTATTGGTGGTGTGGTTATTGTTGCTGGTTTAGTGCAGGTTTCCTCTATTGCTTTACAGGCTGTGCTTAAGGTTATTTGTTTGATTCCCCTGATTTCTTTTTGTGCTCTTTTGGTGGCTCCATTGAGAATCAATTGTAATTGTTTCATTGGAAGGTTTTTTAGTTCATTTAGTAGTAATGTTTCTTTTATTGGGTTCTGTTTGGTTTGAGCTTTTTGGTGCTGGGTTAGTATATATTGGAAGGCGATTTCTATCCATTCAATAAGGGTTTTCTGATTGTTCGGCATTTTCAGGAGTAAGAATTTCAGAATTTTGGAATTCGAATTTCAGTTCAATGGGAAGGTGGTTTGGTAATAAATAAAGCTTTGCAAAAAGGAAAACACTAATGTTTGGTAGCGTAAATCTTTTATTTTCTAATAAAAGTTGCGGTTTCTGCGGTGCGGTTTTAAGTTTCGTTTTGATTCCCCTTCCGGGAGTTTAGTGAATGGGTTGTTATTGGGTCGTTAACGGGGTATTCAGCGTGAGTAGTGGTCGTTGTTAATGGTTGTTTTCAGTTTCGATTGCGCCCGCGGATTGTATTGGTTTCGAGCGAGGGGGAGGCGGATATTGAGGTAAAAGGGGAATAAACTGTCTTATTTATGTTGTTTTGTTATTCTTTTAATTTAATTCCTGTTTAGAGGAGGTTAATTTGAGTGAATAGGTCGGTTCTCTAGGTTGTGGGTTATGAAATAACCTTTTTAATTTAATTGTTTTTGTTTTAAGGCGTAAGGATGGATTAGTTGAGGGCTTAATGGTTGTTTGAGCAGATCTGTGAGCTGCGGGTTTGTAGGGGCGGATTTAAAGATGGCGGACCGGCTTTCTTATTTTGTTTCGTTCTAATTACTAGAATATTTTGTTATTAGAGCTTCTATTTATTATTTCGTTTGGGGGTAGGAAGAGTTATCAATTTTTGGATTTTAAGGCTGTTTAGCAGGCCTTAGAAACGTTGTTGGATTTCAGAGTTTCGATCTTAAATTCTTTGTTGCGGGGCTGATCTAAAAATGTATTTTAATTCTAATCTAAATACGCCTTCTCACGTGCTGTTCCTATAGGCGGAACCTGAGGAGGCCGATACGTACCGGGCCCTTGGTTTCAAAAACACGCTATCCGTTAACACCGCAAGGTGGAGCTAGCATGCCCAAGAAGCGGAGGAGTTTCTCCGTGGGTCCTGTGTTCTGCTCCGGTCTGTGGGGACAGAGAGAAAGTGTGGGTGTGTGTTGGTTCGTTAGTGGCGGTTGCCGCTGTTCAGGTTCGGGGTCCGGTTTGGAGCCGGTTCGGGGTCCGGTTTGGAGCCGGTTCGGGGTCCGGTTTGGAGCCGGCTCCCGTGTGCGGTGTTCGTTCGGCGGCGGCTTCTAGAATGGCAAGAGGGGAAAAGTAGTTATGTTTTTTATAAAATAAAATAAAAAGCAAAAAGCAGGAATAGTTCTTATAAGAACTGTTGGTTTTTTCGTGTGGCGGGTCTCAGTCTGTGGGTTCGAGGCGTTTCGATCTTCGTCCTTCTCCGGTGTTACCAAAGTTAAGGTCCGTGGTCCCGGAGTGCTCAATTTATACTCGGAGACGGCTCTCCTGATTGGTGGCTTGTTGTTCCGTTAAGTGTGGGCGTGGTTGTGTATGAATGGAACGTGTGAAGTGTTGCTGTGCTGTCCCCTTTCTGTGATTGGTTGTTGCTTTCTGGCGTTTGGCCTATGAGGTTGGTTTATTTCTGTTAAGGAGTTTTTTTGTGGAAAGGTTTCGGGAGTATCTGGGTTAATTTCTAAAAATAGGGGGAATATTGAGACAGGTTTACTGGGGTTAAGAAACCGGCTAAGATTAGAGGTTGAAATGAATAAATTTTGGTTTTGTAATATTTATAAGGTGTTTGGTTCCATTTTTTGGCGTTTTCCTTTCAGGGTAATTATTTTTGAGTAGTTTATGAGTTTAGTAATGAGATTAACTTGGGGAGAAAAATAAGATAATTTTTTGTACAATGTGGTTTGTCCTTATTCTTGGATTTTAATCTTTTTAGGGGGTGATTTAAGGTTATGTTGTTTGTTGTTGTTCCTGAGTTTTTTCTAGTTATAGTGCCTACATTATAATATATAAAATTCTTAATCTAGGTTCGTAAATTTGGTAGGATTATGGGTTGTTTAATGAGGTTTAGATGTGGCCTAGTATTTTCTAGGATGACCCTGGAGCTAGTTCTAATTGTGTTGTTTTGATTTTTATTTGGAGTTTAGGGAGCTATTTTTGAGTATGCTATACTATACTATGTTTTTACTTGAGTAAAAGTAAAAGAAATAGCCACCCAAGAAATTACTTAAGTAATTTCTTGGGTGGTAAAAAGTCTACATTTAATATTTAAAATGTACATAAATGACAATAATTCATATAACTAACAAAACAACAACAACAACAAAATCATACAAAAGGTCTTTATGCATGTGAACATGAAGGAAATATGTTTGGAAATGCATTTTATGTTGTATGTTTTTGGGTATTTTTAGACGCATTGCAGCCATATTGGATTTTGGCATCAAAGTTGGTGACAATCATTTTATTTTCCAAGTCTGACTTCAGGGAAGTTTTTCCATTTCAGACTTTGCAATTCCACTCTAGGACTTCTACAGCAGCTCAATTTAAGACTCTATCAGCTGAAAAAAGGCCTGCTCAAGCTGCAGCTTAAAAAGTTTCATTTTTTCTCTTTGGCTTGACTTCCACATCAAAAACCTAAAAGTCCTCTCTGTTCGAATGACTGCAAACCAATCCCACCACTGCTCTTCGTCATAGGTCGGCGACTGAGAGGAAGTGTTAGAAATATTTACGTTACTTTTGCATTTTATAAGAAAATTCATAGATGTCAGAGTAACTTAATAATCATTCCTTGGCTGACACTTTTTAAATTCTTAAAACATTTGAAAGATGTTTTTCAGTTTCTTACTTCTGCCACAACCTGACAGCACTTTGAAGAAATAACCTTTTCAAAGTAGCAAAAAGGAAAATCTCCTCCTCTGTTCAAGTTCAGAGGTTAAGTGCTGAAGAAATCTTGACTTTCCTCTGGTCATAAAATAAGTCTCTAGATAAGTAAACTTTGCTGTTCTCTTTCTGCATAAAATAATTCAATGTCTCCACCAAATTTATTTTTCCTTTTTCATACATCTGTTGCTACTCTTTTTTTTCAGCTGTGCTAGTTACATTCAAATGTATTTTTTGAGGAAATGTGTAATTTTCCAAACTCTCTTGCCTTGAGCCAGACTTTCTAAGGCAGGAAGTGCAGAAGGCCACCTTCCTCAAAGATGTCTTGCATTAAATATTCCCAAATTTATTCCTGCCGTTTCATAAATTCTTCATTCATCTCAAACACCATATTTGTTTTTGAAGTTTGAGGTTACAAATGTCATGTTTGTACACTTCAAACACGGACACAGCCTCCTTTCTCTTTTCTGCTTTTTACGTCTGTGTCTCTCAACGCGCTCTTCCCTATTCATTGATGCCGAACTTCATTCCTTTCATCATCACCGCTGCTGTGACATCCCACAGAGGATAGATGAGAAGGAGATAATAAAGAAGCCCCTTGAAGCTCAGGCAGGATTTCTCCTCTCCAGCCCTCGCTCTCGCTCGCTCTGTCTCATTTCTCATTTCCTTTCACATCCAATATTATGTACAAAAAGCTAAACACCAGCTTGTGCACACCAGAGCCCACACACACTACTGTGTGCTATTACGTTCTGCCCTTTTCTTTCTCATTTACTCTTGTCCCTGACTCAGTCTTGAGGTTTTAGGACCTCTCCTGATGAATTGTGTTGCGGATTGAATTACGAGCAGTAAGGTTCACCGTGCCAGGACTCCTGTACCACGACACGGATAAATCCAACATTTTTCAGAGCTGCGGTCGCGTTGGAAAATGAAAAGAAATAGGATGTAGCTTGGACACTGCAGACAGCCTCTAAATCACTACCCGGTGCTGCTTTCACTCCTCACTGCTTCAGCTGACAACGCTGCAGAACATGATGCAGTCTGGAGCGAATCTCTCTGCTGGAGGAAAGCTGCTGCAAACATTTAGGTCTGCTGGCATGCAGTCTGTATGCTGGTCATACATTTTCATCATGCTCCAAAAACACAAATTCTGGTCTAGTTTCAAGTGGAAACATCTTAGTACACTTGAAATACGACAAAACTGACTTACAAGTAACCTTTCAACAAGAAATAGGGGCTTGTTTTAAGTTAATAATCCCTTAATTTGATGGAAAAGTGCTGATTCCAGTGGAAAATTGTTTCACTTATAACATCCAATACTTTTAAAAATCTACATTCAGCAATTATTGAACCATGCATGGCCTACAGCAACAGCCTTCAGTCAGAAGCCTCTTCAGATTCAATGTAACACTGACTGGTACTGGAGATCCTTCCTGCACACAGCGTCACCAACCAATGAATCAGACGTTTTAATATCAGTCTATTTTGAGAGCAGCTGTAGGTGTAAATCTTTGTGGCAAAAGGTGAGAAGCAGAGACTGATCAAAATAGTTGGTCATTCAATAAAACCCATAAAAATTAGGATTTAAAATGAAAATGAAGCAATATGCTAAAGCAATCTGTAATTACGCAACAAAATTGATCCATTAGCAATAAAATCCAAGATCTTAAAAACTGAAACTACATGCAAGCAGCTTATCTCTGTGATTAGAAGTCCAAGCAGAAATAGGATAATACACTTTTAGTAGGAATATTTGTAGCATAGATGCATCCACAAATGGTATAGAAAATAATCATTCATATATTTATTTAAAGCAAATGTCTTTTAATGTCAATTTACAAACGAATTTGAAGAAAACTATGGTTTTGCTTGTTCACCTCTGGTTTTCTTCCATTAAAAGGTTAATAAATCGGTTGTTTTATTCTCGCCACCTCCCTGTATTTGCTGTTATCAAGTAAACAGTTTACAGCTTGTGAAGCATGGCTGTCCACTGAAAGTCAAATCAGTCCTTGGTTCTGAAACACCCCCAAACCGCTCGCTCTGGCTCCTCACAGGCTTACATTTCAGTAGAGCTTATTTCTAAAAAGGCTTTTTATTGCCTGAAGGCTGCCAGACAGTCACAGTACAGTTTTATCCTCCATCCTTCTGGACATTTTTATAGCTCTTTCTCTAAGGCGAAAAAAGTATTTTTGCCATTATGCAATCTTGTGAGCCAGATGTTTCTAGACAGTTTATTGGTGGTTGGATGTAATTATTCAAAATCTGAGAACATGTTGCTGCAACGTCCAAACTACCAGCCTTTCTAGTAGCCGTGTAAACAAGATGTATGACTTCAAGCCTGTAGTTTGGAATGAAATGTTTGGTAAAATCAATAAATGAAATATAATTTGGTGTTCATGTTTAGTAATGTTTCAGTTCCCTTTTGCGATATTTTGATATGAATGTGCAGCTTCGTAAAAAACTGAGAGTTTCTCTGATTTTACTCCTTGTTGGAAAATGTTTGAGTAAAATGAACATTGTTCTTTTATTCCATGAACTACATGCCTCCAAAATTCAAAGAAAAATTTTAGTGTTTATAGCAAAAAATGAGAAATGGTTAAAAATAATGAGAAAGATGCACCTCACTCAGAGCTTAAATAAGGCAAAGAAAACAAGTACATATTCATTGAGAAACAACAATACTAATGTTTTAACTCAGGAAGAGTTCAGGAATCAGTATTTGGAGGAAAACCAGGAGGTTTTCTGTGGGCTTGTAATGTTTTCCAGAACTGTAGTAATTTTGCTTTTGTATTTTTTGCAGGTTGACTTTTTGATTTATTGACTTTTGGCTGTTTTTCCAGAAAATGTTTCTATTTAATGGGATGTTCTCTGGACACGGTGCCTGATTGATTGATTGTGACTTTATTTATTTATTCATTTATTCATTGACTGACTGACTTGGGTTTGTTTACAGATTGGCAGAAATGGAAAACCAGAATTGCTCATTCTTCACGGATAACCTGTCTCCAGACGAGAGCCTGTGAGTATGTGGCCAGACAACAAACGCCCTGATTACAGTCGCTGCTTTATGCGCGCACGTGTGTGTGTGTGTGGGTGTGTGTGTGTGTGTGTGTGTGTGTGTGCGCGTGCCCTTTGCCCCTCAAGACATCAGCCATTTCTGTTATGTTTGTGCTTGAGCTTGAACATGCATGTTTGTCCGTTACTGGCGATGTAAGTAATCGTCCACATAATGGGACTGACCCACATGGAGAGTCGTCCTCCTCCATCATGCGACTCGCCTGCTGTGGTTTGAGCCTCTGGGTTTGTGTATAGTGGAGAGAGCCTGTTTGTGTTTGAGGGACTTAGCTGAGAGCGAGTAGCAGTAAATGGAAGAAGTGTTATTTTGATGTGAATGAGGCAGTCACTTCTCATTGTGGAAAACCAAGAGTGGAGAAAGAGGTTTTGAGTTGTTGGAAGCCATCCTTTGAGTCCGTGTCTCATTGTTTGTTGACATCGGTGTGAGCTGTCAAACGTTTGCTCCTCTGAGATTGTTTTTCTCTTTCATTGCACTTTAAAGTCGTCGCTGCGTGCCCAGCAGCCCTGTGCAAAGTGTTGTATGGTCTTTGGGGCTCCAGGTGCATCTCTCAGTGTGTGCATTGTGAAATGTGCTCATTATTTCTCTTCAGATGAAAGTTATGTCTGTCTGCCTCTGAGAGAAGGTGGTGATTGACACCACATAAAGAGCATTTTTTATTTTGTCTAAAACAAAACTTGGTAAAAGCAAGTTTTACCTCTGACGTCAGTGCTTCTCAAGCCTTTGTTCACATATGCATGCATCTTAAAAACTGCTGCACTTGCATGGAACTCTACAAGTATGTGTATCTATAATTGAGCTCCTGAGCATGTTTGGTATGCATGACAAGCCGCTCGGTTCCAGTAGCAGCATTGCTTTCTGCTCTTGTGGTCTTGTATTTGGGGTTGATTCTGCAGACCTGTCACTCTGTCTGTCAGTGCATCTTTTTTTGCTGCATGGCTCCGAACGTGCTGCTGTGCTATCTGCGTCTCCAGCTGGTGTTTTGGCTGCTATCATGCTGTTTTCTGTCCTGACTCCTGCTGTCTCTGTCCACAGCTTTCACCACTCCCTCATCTTTCTACATTGCTCTGCACTCACTGTACAGGAAACGGAGGTGAAACGCGGTTATAACCTCAAACGTCTTCATTCCCCTTGACGTTTTTCAAATTTTTGTCGCGTGAAAGTGATAAATCTCAGTGTAATTTATCACAATTTAATTAGACAGACCAACTTGTTTTCAGCCAATAATTCCTTAATATTGATGAAAATGTCATTTAATTGGCAAATTATTTCACTTGTGACATTTTCTCCATGTTTTAAGTGAACTAGTACTTTTCATCTAAATTAAAGCAATATCGAATAAACTCCTATTTCTTGGCAAAAAATTTCTTGTAAGTTAGTTTTGTCTTTAATTTTACGATGATATTTTCACTAGAAATAAGATCAAAAATCCTTAATAAGGTTTTGTGTTTTTGCAGTGTAGGAGCAAAGTGTTCAACCCAGTTGAGATAAATCCCCAAAGGCAATTGTTCTTGTAAATTAAATGTTACAAGAACATTTAATTTCCTGTTGGGATCAATAAAGTATTTTTGAATTTGAACAGTTGGTCCACATAATGTTGACTACAAATCCATGCTGTGCTTCCTCAGATTTGTTTTCTGTAATTTGAAACTCATGAAGCATTTTCCATCTATATTACTTTATGTTATACTTTATGTTGATTTGCTACATAAAATCTCATTAAAATACTATAAAGGTTTTATTTTTAATGTCACAAAATGTAAAAAAAAAAAATCAAGGCATTTTAGCTACATTTGGTAATAAATAGAAATTAAATGTATAAGGTTCGTTTATTCAGTCAGAATATCAAAGCAATCTTACAGTAAATTTAAAAGCTAATTAACAGATAATTCTTTATAAGTCACAGGTAATTTTTGATATATTTTGTATTGCAGAAGTTTTGTTGCTACATCCATTCATGCTGCCTTTGCCACACATTCAAGAAAAAGCTGCAGGGGAAACAGCTCAAGCAGAGATTTCCAGAAAGCCTCCTCTCTGAAGCTGCCTTCTCCAGCTTATCTGCAGGGGACTGAGGTGTTCAGATGTCAGATACAAAATCTAATCTCCCCAACAAGTCAATGATTTGCCAGGAGACCTCCTGTTAGTGGGTCATATCTGAAACACGCCCTCCAGGAAGGAGCTCATGAGACCTCCAACCTTTAAATTGAAGCAGCCCATTTCTACTTCTAGCTCTTCCTAAATATCTGAAATCTTAGTTCTGTCAACAAGGCTGAGTAGCAGCAATGAGTCACCCTGAGGAAGAAGCTCACTTCTTACGGTCGGATTTGCAGTCTCATTATTTTAGATGCTGCTCTCCTGTAGGTCATGACCAGGTCAGAGTTGGAAAATAAATCTTTAATTTGAAAGATTTTGTGTTTCTGCTCAGATTTTTTTGTCAGTTTTTCCAAATGGCACAAATTGAAACATAACAATTTCCAGACAAAAACTTTCTACAGTAGAATGAGGTCATAAAATATATTTTACTAAATTATAATGGAAATATATATATATGTTTTTGCATCACACAAGTCACACAATCAACATCCAGACGTTGCTGCTGAACACGACGAAGAAGACAACAGGAAGTAGCAGGAGGGTGACGGTTTGTTTGTGTTTTTTTGACATTGTTCAGCTTCTGTAAAACTGCTGGCTAAAATTTCCAAAATATCAAAATCCCCATACAGTCTGTAGCCTCTACCAAGTATCAGACACCGAACTCTCCTCTGATGGCTAACAGATGACGATGCTAAAAAACACTACATAAGTTTGATGTATTATTATTAGTATTATTAAAAAAAATAATAAAATGTGCACTTAGAGTTAATATATTCCCTTTCGGCATGATTTTGTCATTTGTTTCAAGGCTTGTAAACATGCTTCACATATTATTAATTTGTTTTCTAAAATGTGCCTTTGTTTTGAAAGTTGTAAAAGTTTTCCAGATTTTGTAATGTTGGTTTGGGCCTACGAGCCACCGTAGCAAGTAATTTATTGATTAAAATAGTCTTTGAGTTTTTCCTCTCAAAGACCAATAAACTTTAATCTTCTAAAGAAAACTTAACAATATTTTAAATATTCTAAATGAAACAAGACAACCAAAATACAGTAAAAATGGAAATAAAAACTTACATACAACCAAAACCATAGATAAAATGAATTATGCCTAATACACAAAAATGCTAATCATCTGAATTGAAATTATTGCACTCGTGTTAATCTGTCCTGGGATTAATTGTTTATTGCGACAGGCTGTGGTCTTGGTTGGATTAAAACACATTAAATCAATGCAGGAATTAAGCTGAGGATTTTTCTAAATATTACCGTGATGTATAACCAGGAATAAAAATAAAAAGGTTATAACTTTCTGTTAACTTTAATCCAATAAAGTTGCCTCCACTGGCAGAAGTATTATTACCAGACATAAACTGCAAAATAACTCTCTTTCCATTACATCCATTACAATAATTGCCAGACAGTTAGACATCTATTTATTGCCTCAGGTCTGCTGTAATAGATCCTCACATTATCTTTTCTATTTCAGTGTCATTGGTGATTTTATTATTTTTGGAGCTGCGTTGTGTTGAAGTTAAAGATGAGCTCAGTGGTTTTGGTAAATGTCAGAGGTTTAATGGTGCGGTTAGCCGGGTTTGTCCCGTTCTGTTTGGTTTTGTCTCGTCCTGTGACCCCCGACCTCATCGTCCTGCTTGCTTTGCTTTGGCCGCGATGCCGCGCCGTTGGCTCTGCTTTGTGCTGCTGGTGGCTGTGTGCTGGTGGCTCAGTGTGCTGTCTCCTGTGTGGGGGACTCAGGGATGAAGATCAGTACCTCCTGCGTCACTCCAGCCCAGCACTGGACCACGATTCGCCCTGCGGGCAGCACATGCTGCTGGCTCACCTGGAGCATCAGGACAAGGAGCAGCTCCAATGCACCCTGGCCCGCCTGGAGAACGAGAACAGGTCTGTGGCTGGGAAAATGTCCCAATCCTGAAGTTTTTGACTCATGCACAACAATTCCTGAAGTATTTATCGACTGAGCTGATCATTTACGGAAAATAAAATAGAAGCAAACCAGATATATCCATCAAAACACATCAAGAATAAGAACGTTGTTGACTATTTACACTGAAAAAATACGTTAGTAAACTTGTAACAAGACAAAACTAACTTAAAAAACATTTTAGCAGGAAATTATTCATTTGGTTTAAATACATAATTTTTTCATGTTGATCCACTGACAGATTATTTCACTAAAACTAAGCCGTATAAACCAGTTTTGTTTCTGCTTCCATGTTTCCAAAAATAGATTTTTGATCATAGTTTTAATTAATTTTTAAGTTTTAATTCTTAATCTTGGAGTCAGTGACAAAACTGACTTAAAAGTTTTCAGCTTGTTTTAAATAAATAAGTCTTAATATTGTTAAAAATGATTATTTCACTTACAGCATTTTTCTATAAGTGAAATAATCTTCTATTAAAATAATATTCTATTTTTTTTGGCCGTAATGCGACCTGTATCCAATCTTTCCATGACAGTCTGAACAGCAGAGGTTCGATCCTTTTCGAATGTGACCCAGCCCACTTGGGTATCAGATTCAAATGTGACCTTTGACCAGGTCGCGTTCATCCGACCTGAACGTCACTGATTCTTGACAAATGTCACTATTCTGCGCTCTGATAGCAGGAATTAAAACAACCACCATGATGAGGATTAAGTTGTTAAAGTGCTGCTCCAATCGGACAACAACTTCACGTGTAAGCTATGCGCCACAGTTAGCATCCATGTTTACTTCTGCAAACACTGAGCATTTCTTCTTCTTTTATGGTGGATGGCAGAACACTGACGCTATTGCGCCCTCTACTGCGCATGTGTGACACTTTCGGGTCGTTTGCCCGTTCACACTGGAGAACACATAGAGGTCGCCCCCGGCAAAAAAGTCTGACTGCAGTGTGAATGCAGCCTTAAACTAAGCTCCTATACCTTTCTGAAACCTCACCTGTAAGTCAGTTGAATAAGATATTTACACTAAAACTAGACGTGAAATACTTGATAAGATTTCGTGTTTTTGCAGTGTCATCTCCTGGTTTAGTGAAACATCCAGACAAGCTCCATAAAAGTGTGCAGGTGTTTATTGTTTGCACTATTTTCAACAATTCTCCGATTTGAAATATCTCCTGCTGAGAGTAAACGCGCTCAAAAGTCATTTGAACAGCCAACTGAAAATAAAGAAGAAAAAACCCACTCTGAACGCACAGCTGTCAGCCAAATGTGTATAGCAGTGTGATAACATGGCAGAAGCTGTAAATCGAGCTTCACTTTGACAGCCTTTGTCCAAAAGAGAGGAGAAAAGCTCGTAATGAACTGACTGTTGTGACGCAAGAGGAAAAGCAAGTCTGAAACACAAAATGCTTTGATTTGAATTTATGTGCTTGGGGTTCAGACATTTTCCACAAATGACGCTAATTCATTTTCTCCTACATGCACTTAATTTGTCACTAGAGGCATCTTTATGCGAATGATTCATATGAATAATTGTCTCGTCCTCGGTTTGCCAGTGACCTTTACAAACCCACAGCAACGTAAACCCGCACATACTTATAGCCTCCGGGTGTTGGAAACCTTGACCAAATTATTATTTCTATTTTTCTCAAAATGCCCCGACGTGGTGTTTGTGTAATGTGTACACACAATAAATCAGGGCCGCACAAAAGAAATCCGCTACAAAGCTGAAACGAACCCAAACTAACAGCATCACTGAGAACGACCTGTGTGTTTTGAGAGTCGGGACTAAAAAGGCAACTTTATTTCCTGGATTTTGAATATTAGGAGCCATTAAAAGGGATCTGGTTCCTACTGTAGTTTAATTATCTACATATGACCTTTAAATGTAGTAAAAATATAACTAATTAGCAATGATGTGCAATAACGGTACATTTACTTGTACTTAAGTTCTTTGAGTGTTTATTTTTAGGGGAACTTATAACTTTTGACTCACTACATTTCTGTAGTCGTAATGTGAGCAAAACCAGCTGTTCAAAAGTCCAGTAGTTCAGTTTAAGTTGCTGGGTAACGGGCTGGGCTATATGTGGCGTTTTGAAATATGTCGTCACTCGTTCCCTTTGGCTCAGCAGAGCTTTGTAATCCACTGCTGCCATTTTTAGTTACCGACTCGTGATTGTGTGGACGTTTTAAATAAATAAAAAAATGGCTTTAATGTTTTGCTGAAGTTTTTACAGGTAGTGAGGATCTTTTGTAGCGGAGCATTAGATCTAAATTGGGTCATCACCAGAACCACCAGCTACAAATCCAAGAATGACTGAAGACCCAAAGAGTCACCGCAGTGCAAGAACTTCAGAAAGTTATGAATAAATAAATGAACAGTCGTCGTGAAGCCATCCTCACTAATGCAATGGATTGATTAAATAGATTTTATTGCTACTTATTAGATTTTCCAAAACAAATTCTGATATCTGACTTAAAATAAGTAGTTTTGTTCTGTTGGAAGACAGAATATTTCACTAAAACTACAGTTAGATCATTTGCAGCGTCTAAAATGTAAATTTATTTCTCATTTGCACAAGTACAAAGATGAATGTTAAAACTGACTCTTTACTTTGGGAAAATTCATTTTAACTTTCAGATGAGTGGTTGGAGGCATGTTTACCACTGCATTGCATCAGCTTTTCTTTGAACATTTGATGCACTTGAGAACTCAGGAGACCAGTTAGAAGAAGCAAAATAACATGAAGTTTTTTTTCTAGTTGTCAGATTGAAAGTACTCAACAGTTTTGGACTTCTTTGCTGCCATTTTTTCTGTCTTAATACTCCAAATTGTTAAGAGGGAGACACTTTGGGACAATTAGATGGTTTAGAATCAAAATTACTCACCAATCTTGTTGGAAATGGTGCAGAATAAATCCTGAAGGAGACATCAGCAAGGTGCACACATAAATGGAAGAAAAAACAAAAAAAGCAAACTGCTCACAGTGCTCGTTTTTACCCTAAAAGTTGCAGTGAAAGATTTGGTGATGAGTCCATGAAGTTTTTCATTTAAATTATGACTAAGAAAGAAAATGTTCTGTTCTTTCTTTTAATGCCAGTCCTTCCATTTTGCTGTTCCAGACACATTAGTCTCAGTAGCCTGCAGGTCAGCGTGTCCAAAATCAAATTAATTAGCGAATATTACAAGTTTACAAACTCAAAACAATTTTCCCCAATATTATGTCACATTAAGGAGAAATATTGCGTGCTGAGTATTAGAGCTTGTATTAAAGATAATTAATCTAAGTGGGGTGAGTTGTCAACATCCATTTGCGTTATAATGCATTTGGAGTTATAAATGTAGCATGCTACACTGAGCAATATGTCACTATTTACATTTTAAGTGAGATTATTCCAGTTACACTAAATGTTTATGTACATTCTTCTGTTGGAGGTAAATAAATATACATCATATTGATATTTTTCTGCCTCCTGCATCAATAAGTTGGCCTGACAGCTTCCTCGTCCTCAGGGTTCTGCAGAGCGAGTACAGGCGACTCAAGTGGAAACACGAGGAGGCAGCGGCGCTTCCCATGCTAACCGAGGCTGGTGAGGGCGACCCCGGGTCGCCCACAGCGGGAGGGGCGCAGGATGAAGAGCTGCTGGCTGAGGCGCGGGTGCTGCGGCAGCACAAAACGCGCCTGGAGACCCGGATGCAGATCCTGGAGGACCACAACAAACAGCTGGAGTCGCAGCTGCACCGACTCAGGGAGCTACTGCTACAGGTGAACCCATTTAAATCAGCAAATACAAACAGGGTGAATTTCAGGGTCAGACTTTTTAATGATTCTCTTGTTTTTGGTGAAATAAACTTGTAATGTTTTAAAAATCAGATTTATTGTATCTGTTCATGTTCGAGTTAATTTTAAGGAAGAAAATTATGCATTAATGTTGAAATATAAGGATAAATCCCACAATCGTTAACCTCAGACTGTAACATTGTCCAGAAACTTCCTGTTGGCGTGTTTTATCCACTCCCACATCATCGTTGATGGTCACAACAAAAACACAACACTGGTTCCTAATTTTGACTTTAATCTATCTCCAAATTAATCTGTTTCCCTGATTTTCTTTCCTCCAAACTCCAACTGTTTCCTTTGAATTTTTACTTCAGGTGTCAAATTTAGTTTTTTTTTTTTTCTCAGATTTTTGACTTTAATTTCTGACTTTTCTCAGAATTCAAATTAGATTTTTTTTAAAATTCACCTTCTTTTCTAAATGTAGTTTTTCCTACAAATTGATCTTAATTGCTGACTTTTTACCTTTTTTTCCTCCGAATTTTGATATTTATGTCTGAATTACAAGTTTTTCACTAAATCTTTTCTGTTTTGAGATATTTTTAACAGCTAGCGGTGTAAATTCAAACTTTTTTGACACGTTTGAGTTAATTAGAAGCTAACTTTTAAGACCTCATCTTACATAAATCTCTGACGTTTCCCATCCCCCATTATTGTGGCATTTAGCAAATAGAAATAATTTTGGTCATTTTAATTAAGCCTGATGCATGAAAAGTGTGGTTTGATTAAACTTTATCAGACTGAGAAAATAATTGTTTTTTTCTTCTTATTCAGTTGAGTTCATTTGATCAATTTTGCACAAAATTCACAACAAATGTCGTCTCAAGACATTTTACCATGCAAACAAAAAATGCTATTTGTAAATCACAAAATAGACACAAAATATAAAATAAGTCAGAAATATTAAGTAATTGTTAAACAGATGTTGATCAGTTCACAATCTTCTCTTTTGTTCTTTTTGAAATGTTGCTCACTGTGTTGAGATAAAATACTTGATAAATTCATATTTTATATGTAATTGTTTTTAAAAATCATTACACATCTGAGTCATTCCACAATAAAATTAAAGTGGCGAATAATTAAACCTCAAAATTTATATATATTCACTTCTAAACACAACTGTAATCATTCTGCACTTTATATCATATAGAATGTGTTTATTTTGTGTAATTCCCCTTTAATTTAATAAAGTTTTGTTTGTGTATCTTGTAGGTTTGCATGTTTTTCCATTTATTTGGTTCAAGTTCAGTTTCCCAATAGGAGCTGCTCCATTTAATCTGAAATAAATCACCATTAACTATTTATAAAACCAAAGAAGAAGAAAACATAATTCCCTCTGTACGTGGTGCACTGGGGTTTGTCTGCAGACATATTTGTGTGTCTTCTCACGAGTTCAGCAAGCACAACCCTTTCTCCATCAGGTGTTTTGTGTATAAATTATAATGGAAGAGTCTGTTTTATCGTTGATGAAAGAGAGCATGACTGAACTGGAATGACAGCGTCTATTATTCTGCAAAGCATTTATCGTATTTCTGTGTGCAGCATTAGACAGCTAATAGCAAGTATCACTGAGTGGCACGAAGATCAAACCTTCTAGGTGTTTCTTTGTTCCACAGTAACTTTCTCTCTTATTTCTTTTTCTGCATAGAGATGGAAAAAAAAAATCTGCGTTTTAATATTTATGTAACTGCATTCATATGAGTGCAGAAAGCAACAATGGAGCCTATAAAGAGGGGAGGGGACGGGAGTACAAAGAGGTACAGTACAAAACGACGAGGTTGAACAGACACTGAAGGGTCGTATTAAAAGATTCACTGCAGTATAAAGGAAACGTATAACAAAGAGCGGCACAGGAGAGTGGGAGCTGACTCATGCTGTTACCATTATGACATTGTGTAAATTATTAAGTCACTAAATTGCACATTCAGGTCAGTGGATGAGGGGAAAGCAGAGGGACAAAGATGAGAAAGACACTAAGAAAGAAGGACGGGATGCTGCCTCTTATGTTCACTAAGACTTGGAAATTGAAAGTGAACAGAAGAGAGAGAGCAGGAGGAGGAAGAGGAGGAGGAGTGCTCAGCGTATTCCTGGTTGTGAGGAAGAAAAAAGTGCTTTTCGACTTATTTCTTTGTGGAAGAATATCACAGATTAATTTCTCTGTAAAGTCTCTGGAAGCCGTAATCTGAGTGCGTGAATCCGTTTCGAGTCTCTGCAGACGTTAAACTCCTCCAGAGGACGGCTTCTAAAAACAAAAACATGCCATGTTGCATTTTATATTTTTGTGATGCGTTGTGCCTGTTTGACTGGGATCCTAAGCATTTTGTGCTGCAGGTTTTCGAGCAACGCTGACATTTTAAGTTTTGTTCAGAGCAGAGGCTGTTTTATTGCAAATGTACTGACACCTCTTGAACTTTTCAAACAACTTCAATATATTATAATATATTGGATATTTATTTTTATTTGATCAACACAAAACTAACAATGTCATTCTGATAAACAAAGTCCTCTGTTCTTCAACTTGAAATTAATGAAATTTCAAAAATTCATGGAGTATTACATTCTACAAATAGTCCAAAACTAAATCTATTTGATCTGCTGTGGTTAAAATTAATGTTCATAGCAGCTCAGTCCAGCTTGACATAATTAGCAATAAAACGTTTTTCCACCAGACATTTTCCTAAGGGTTTTCAGAGGGTCTAAATACAATCACAAATTTAGTTTGCAGTTATGCACCTTCTGCTGGTCTGTGAAAAATCCAGTTATGATGTCCAAAGGGTACAAACACTTTGGCATTGCACCATGCAGCCCGTCCTTTTATTCTTTTATGCGAAATAACTTCACGGCTTTATATAGAGTTTTAAATGATTGTTTTGTTTCTTCTTCCAGCCCAAAGATGATTCGGAGGCGAACGGATCTGAGCTGTCGACGCTCTCCTCCCCGGTGTCAGGAGGCGGGCGCCAAGGGGAGCCGCCCAGCAGGGAGACGACCGACACCGAGGCAGCAGGTCAGCGTCACGCAGCCGGACTGAAACCCGCAAACATGAGAATATGACACAGCTTCTTCACAAACACTCCTACCAATAAACACACAATCTTAGTCCACTTGAATTAAGACAAAACTACCCTATAAGTAGCTTTTTATATATAGGAGCTTTTTTAAGTCAATAACTGCTTAATGTTGACGGTTGCTGGTTCCAGTGGGAAAACTATCTTGTTTTAAGTTGAATAATCTGGCAGTGGAATTACTTTCTTAAGCACAAAATGTCACTTGTCAAGTTTTTAATTCCTAAAAATGTAAAACAAAAAACTCATTTTTATCCCTCTGCTTTACAATTACTCACAACCTTATCTGCTTAAACATTAAACTATGTGGCTGTGAGGTGACAAAACCTCCCAGTGCACTGCAAAAACAATTAATTTTGGTCCAGTTTCTAGTGCAAATATCTTAGTACACTGAGAATAGAATAAAACTAACAGAAAGGGAGCTATTTAGTACAATATGGGAGCTTGTTTTAAGTCAATATTTCTTTATTGTTATTGAAAAAGTTCTGGTTCCACTGGCCAAATATTTCACTTATGGGAAAAATGTATTTTTATAAGTGAAATAATTTGCCAATAAAACTAGGACTCTTAGTTATTAGTTATTTATTTCACATGCACTAAAAAATATCAATAGAAACTAAACAAAAACACTTGGTGGGACCTGGTGATGAGTCACAATAAGTAAAGAAGAAACTATTAAACATATAACGACATGGGAAATTTGTCTTGTTTTGAGTGAAATAATCTGCCAGTAAATCAAACTCCTTTACGTAGATAAAACGTTAAGTGTAAGTTAGTTCTGCCTTATTTTAAGCGCACTCAGATATTTGCAGTAGCAGCTGAATTAGTTGGTGAGATTCTGTTTTTCCGGTGCTAACGGGTTGAAGCTGTTTGTGTCAGGAGATGATTTGGAGCGTGAGGAGGACACCGTGCTGCAGCTTCAGGAGGTCATCGAACAGCTGAGAAACGTCTTCCCCTCCGAGCCGGGTGAGTACATCCAGCCTGCAGTCATCTCTGCCCCGGGGACCGAGACACGGAGAGGAGAGCAAATATGTACTGCTGCGGGTCCGTCAGGGAGGGAGGGACGGGAAGATTAAATGGCAAAGAGGAGGAGGGCGATAAGAGTGACACATCGACTGTGGCTGAGAGAAACGGTTAGCGTCACTGTCAGACTTATGCTTTCGTGATGCAGTCTGCAAGGCCGTTTAGCTGCAGATTTCTTGGTCTGTTTTTTCAATCTTCCGCTCCTACATTTTTCTTCTTTAATTTCAGGCACCACATCACACATCTAACTCTGTGAGGGGATCCAGGAGCAGAATGACGGCCCGAAATGAGGCAGGAGGTCAGGCGGCGACACGTCAGACCCCGCGACTGCCACCGACTTTAAGAACCGACTTTAAGAACTAACCCTCGTCCGGATCGCTGTGCACTAAAAGCCTTTCTCATGCAAACTGCCAGAGGCTCACGCTGACGGCCTTTTTGGCCAGGCTGCGCCTCAATAGCTCAGTGACAGCATGCTAAGGAGCCGAATATATCATTAGCAGAAGGTCAGGGGGTAAAAAACGAAACGCCCAACCAAGACACTGTGCTTACCAGTATTTGTGTAGTCGTTCAGAGACGTGAAGCTTTATATCAGATCAGAGCACAAAGTCCAGAAGAAGAACTGGAGAAATACAAGGGGAAGGGGATCACTAGCGTACGACTCTGTTTTAGGGCCATTATAGACAGAAAGAAATGAGTCAATTTCACAGAAAACACTTTTGAGGTTAATCTCAGAAATTTTCAACTTCTCGAACTCAGACATTTCTGAGATTTAATTATCGAATCCGAGATTTCTGAAACTCAGAAATTTCTAATTTTTTCTAGAAAATTTCAGTTTTTTTCTTGGAAATCTTTGACTTTTCAAACGCAGAGATTTCTGAGGTCTTTCTTTTTTAGTTTTTCTCTCGCAAATTTGTGTTTGACTTTTTAAACTCAGAAATGTCTTGAATGTTTTTCTAGAAAATTTCTGAGATTACTCTCAGATTTTCTGAGGTTTCTCTCAGAACTGTGCTCCTCCTTTTTCTCTCCATCATGGCTCTAACACGCCGTCATACTTGCGTGTTTTTTTTAACGTTTGAATGTGTTATCATGGTTCATTTTTCAGATTTTGGTAATTGCATCAGGGCTCTGCTGACTGATTTCATATCACTAGGAGATGCAAATTGGAGCTGGCAGCCCCCAGAAGAGCGTTTCTTTTGTGGGAATGGTGCATCATCATCATCATCAGTTAAATCCATGATTTATTAAAGATTGCCCAAAGTGCCCGCCAGCACAGCGCCTCTGTTTGCACACGCTCCTCACTCTGCTTGTTGCTCTCCTGCCTGAGCCCTTCACACATTTGCTGCTATACATTCACATTCAGATTCAACCTGCACTCTGCTTAAATACACAAGGAGCCTCTGCATGATCAATAGCGTGCTGTGCAGAAACGCGCGCACTTTCATAAACCTGGACATTGATTTATTTGCCCCCCAAATCATTCAGGCAAATGAGGTGTTTTGAGCCCATTTCGTATTGTTCCTGGAACGCTGCGCTGTTGAGGAAATGTATGCCGATCGGTATCAGCGTACATGCCTCCTCCCCGGGATCTTATTGTTTTCATGCTGTGTGAAGAGAAACTGACAGAAGGAGCTGAAGGCTGAAGCCCTCCCTCTCTCTACTTGGCCAATTTCGAACACAACAGGGGTCCAGACGAGGCTCACCGCCATGATGCATCATTATCCACGATAATCCTCTCATTCTATGTAGTTTTAAAATACTGATAACTCTGGAGTGTGCATTTACAGAAAGTATTTCCATATAGAAAAGGTTGTGTGATCAGGAGAGATGACTTTTATTATTTATAAGCTTCATAAGAGTTTTCATACCCCTTCAATTTATCCATATTGGCAACAGTGCGAGAAACAAAATGTGGCTTATTGGGAATTTGTGTGACGGACCAACAGAAAATAGTCCACAATTATGAAAAAGTAAGGAAATAAGTTGGACTTTTTTTTTTATTATAAATGAAAATTGTCACATGCATAGGTTAAAATGACCCCTTTTAAATCCATAATACGTATTTTTCATTACGTTTGAGGAGTTTGCAGACTTCTTTACGTTGTGTGACTTGAGGCATTTGAGGCTACCGCTAACTAGATGCTAATATCTCTTGTTATCTAGCTTTTTGTAACGAAAGTGTAAATTTATCACAAGTTTACTGGATGATGTTCATCTTCGCCACAGACTCTCATATGTTCAATCAACCCAAAAGAAAATTTTAAAACTTTATTTTAGTACAGCAAACATGCAAAATCTGTATCAGGGCCATTACAGGGGAAAAAAGAAAAGTGGTACATTTCTACAAAAATCTCTGAAATTTTCTAGAAAAAAATAAATAAAATTTGCTAGGGAAAATTTTTCTCCAAAAAACATGAAAATTTCTGATTAATCACAAAATGTCTCATTTCTTGGTCCAAATTTACTCTACAAAAGCCCAGATGTACCGCTGTAAAAATCTTTATTTTACGTTGGGTTTTTTTGAGTCAACAATTTTGGCCCACATGGAAAAAGGTTTGGACTCCACTCCTGTAGGCAGAACATATTAGAAAGTCCAACACTTAAACTCAAGTAAGAATCTGTAGGAAAAATGTAAAATTACAGTTTTAAGATGATCTCAATCTTTTCTGGTTAGTAGACGGCAAAGCCGAGAAATAGAGACGCTACTTTGTGTTTGACTTTCACATCAAATCCCATAAAAATCCACAGAATCTTAGTTTGTAAGTGACAAAATGTTGAGAGGCGCTGCAAGTTAGGGCATGCATTTTCCTGTGAACACTATTAATGCCTTAAAAACCTGAAGTGAGCCGGTGTGACAGAAGTTGGTTTTCCTGAACTTATTTTCATTTTCAGGTCAGGAGGTTGCATCAGGTGTTTGTGTGTCAGTGTCTGCAAAGGCCTGCTGCTCTGCTGATTGAAAGTGATGGGACAAGAGGGGATCACAGCGTAGTCGAGCGCGCAGTCAGACCTGTGACTGCAGACCCCGAAAGACATGAAAGGAGGGTAGAAAACACTAGAACAAAAAAATTGCATTTGTCGCTGGAGGGCTGGTGGGAGAGATCCACTTTGAAGCGTCTGCCGCCGGTCGACGCGTCTCTGGGAGAACGAAGCGAAATGAAACCAGCACCACGTTCTTCCAGGAGACATTGGGGTTGAAGCAGAAGGAGCGCCGACCTCACAAACACCAACCCGAAACCCGTCTGCTGCTCTCATTACGCTGTCGGACCCCGACACCGTCCTCCTCGGCGTTGGACGCCTGTTAGTTTTGATGCTGTTGCTAGGGAACTATCCCCAAGGACGCAGCTCGATGATGTGCAGTTCGTATTACAAATGCTAATAGCCTTAAGGGAAGCAAGAGAAAGCTCCTTGTTTCCCAAACACAAGCCACTGTTTCTCCACCTCCACTAGAGCCGGGTGCTGAGGGAAGTCATGATTATTACCCAAATCTTTTCTGGTTTCTGTGCTTCAGAGGAGAAGGATGAGCAGAATCCATGTTTACTCATCGTGATTCATCTCTGGGTATTTATGCATCTCATTAAACAATGATTACCCATCACACACGTCAGGATGCACAAAAATATGTAGCAGCGGCAAACTGTGAAAAACACGCAGAGGCATTCAGAACATGTCAGCTGTTATTTATCTTAATATCACAGCGACATGGCGGTTTCAAGAAGACAAGAAATGGATATTTAATGAAGTTACGCTGCTGGTTAGATTGTTTAGAGCGACTCAGACATGGGGAATCCAGTTACTACGACAGCAATCAGCATAAACGGCGCCATGTGGCAGAAATCAATCGGCGAATTACAAAACGTTTGATGCTGCATTAGCTTGGAAGTTGAAATGTGGGTGTGGAAATGACGCTTCACATCAATTTAAAACTTAAAATTCCAAAATTAAGGCCTTAAAATGTCCTGAAATGTCTCAAATTCATTTAAAATAAATTAATTTGGCCTTAAATAAGTTAATCACAGGTCAATTTATTTACGTTTGTATTTTTCTCTGAGTCGCTTTCGAATTTTTTCTTTATGTTCTGTGATTCTGGGTCAAACTTGTGGCCCGGGGGCCAAGTCCGGCCCGCCGTAGCTATTTATGTGGCCCTTTAGACTCCAGAGGGACGCATAAATAAAATCTTCAACTTAACAGTTGTGTGCTTAAATTTTATTTTATCAATCAAACCAAATCACTTTTTAAATATGAACAATGTCAGATTTTATTAGTCGCTCTAGTTTGAGATCCACCATCATGGAAAATCATCAGATTCCTGCACACTTTTTTGCAATAATGCTTAATTGTGAGTTTACTGAAAAATTTCCAACAAAATAGTCAAAAACGTTTGTGTGATGCTAACTCCCACCTGCAGGAGGCAGTATTTCTAACATTATATTACTATTTATTTCATTAAGACCCAAAAACACAAAAATACTTGAGTCTCAGTTTGAATTGTGCAGAGATGGAAGATCTAGAAATAACAGAACAAATCATGAATTGGTTGATTTCATTGTTTTGTTTTTTAAGTTGAAAGTTTAACTTTGGGCATTTTGGGTTATTTTTCTAAACTTATAGCATCAAGGTTTCAACTTTAAAGTGCAAAAGGAACACATCAAACTTTTCTAACTTCCTACAGCACCTAGCTTTACTTACTATATTTACGCTAGTTAGCATAAATAAACAGGAACGGTTTCAGCTTTAGTATTTCTTATTTCTATCATCCTTTTGGTTCCAGTTTCTAGTGCAAACCTTTTATTAGACTTGAAATAACACAAAACTAACTTTCCACCTATAAGAGCTTTTTTAAGTAAATAATTTCTTAATGTTGATGAAGAACTTCTAGTTCTAGATTATTTTCTCATGTCGAAGGTGAAATAATCTGCCAATAGTCCTGATACATTAAGTAATTATTGGCTTAGAAAAGTTACTTGTAAGTTAGTTTGTCTTATTTCAAGATATTTGCATTTGAAACTAGACTAAATAGACTGGTAACATTTTGTTTTTGCGATGCAGTTGCATTATGCCACAGACACATAATGTTTCTTTCCCCAGTTGAGAAAAAAACACAATGTTCTGCTGCATTTTTACTCAGAATTATAATCTTTTTCTATCTTATGTGACCCGTATCCCTTCTACAAACATGCCAACTATCGCTCCATGTTGCATGACGGAAACAAACACAAGCTCACATGCATCATCATCATCATCACTCTGCAGCCTGACTCCTCTCTGGTCTGAACATGTTTGTTCAGATTTCATGTATGTCGCCTAACATGCAACAGGATACATGCACACATCACCAAACCTCAAGCAAGTTTCTACTCATATAAAATCCCTGATTCATGCAGGTGAAATGAGGCGTCCACTAATATACCTCATTAATCACCTTGAAGTTCGTTGTTTAACGGTTTTGAGTTCCTGTTGTCGTCCAACACTTTGTCCTGGGAGTTTTTAATCTGTGTGAGAGGTTTTCTGAGGAGAGGCTTTTTACTGTAATAACAAGTGGGTTACTGGCTGCTTTCTACTCTTTGTGTACAGAAATAAAACTTTGTATTTGGCAAACTGCTCATCTGCGTGTGTTTTTAATAAGCCCTTTGTGGGTTGAATAAAACAACTACACTCAAAATGAGGCCATGTTATTTATATTCCTTTTTTTAGCTGTCTATAAAGTGTAAAATATGTATTTCCTGACTATTTTTTCTCTTCCAGCTCTGTTATATAATTACTTTTTATCTCTGATTTTGCCAACGTTTGTGACTCTACAAGCTGCTGTCAGTTTATTGGTCCGTCTCCTTTTCCTGTCCCTGACTTTGTTCTTTTTGCTGCATCTCTTGATTGGCGTTTGACCTTCTTCTTCTTCTTCCCTTTATCGTGCCGCGATCTCCTGCTCACTACATTATCAGAGCTGGTGGATGCAGGGTCACCATCTTTATCTGTTTTGTGATTATCTGCTTCAGGAGCCGCGACCCTCGCTGGTTTTTCATTATCTGACCCCAATTCACTCGTCCTCCCACACGTTTGCTCTTTATCACAACACTCGGCTTTCAAATCCGGATTTTTTTCTGTTTCACAGTCGCCTGCTCCTTCAGTCTCAACAGGACGGTGTTCTGCTGGGTTTTCCCTCTCTTTATGACTTTCAGTGTTTTTTTCTGTGGTTTTCTTAGCAGAGTTTGTGTTTTTCTTTCTTATTGCATCCTTGGTCCTGCTTCCAACCGGAGCCCACTTCTCCTTTGTTGTTTCCCAATAATTCTTCTTCTGCCCGGCGTGCTTTTTGCGAACGTTTTCCCCCAATATCTTCAGCTCCTTCTGGATAAAGGGTTTAAACTTTGGATCCAGTTTCTCCACCGTGGCAAAGTCTCTTCGAGCTTCATCTTCGTTGCACAAAGCGGCGTGCGCCCGCGCCCTCTGGTACGTCGCTTTAAAGTTACCTTTGGAGTAGAAATGGGAAGAAATGGGTGGAGACAGCAGAAGAACTGAGAGGTAAACGAGAATGGTTCAGAGCTTTATTTATATCCTTTGAAAGGTAACATAAAATTCACTTTGGCATGTTTTTGTGCTTCCATTTGGGTTTCTGCTGCTTCACGAAACGGTCAGAGTTTTGTTAAAAAACACCCAGACGTTCCTTAGAGATAAATGAATGTTTTTAGGCGTCTGGAAAATGACCCGTTTCAGAAACCTGAACGTAACGTCAACAATGAGGAGGCGCTGCCTGTTACCTAGCAACCCCAGCAAAACCAATCAGCCAATGAGAGTTCAAGCACTTTTGGCTTGAAAAAGGTTTTAACAATTTGTCCCCAAAGACGCAATTGTACAATGATGTGTTAATGCCATATAACAAAGATATTTCTGAGTTTGTGAAGTTGAAAATTTGTGAGACAAAAATTTTAAATTTGAGTTCAAAAGGTGAAAAATTTGTCAGAAAAAAAGGAGAAATTTTCAGATCAATCTCAGAAATTTTCTAGAAAAAGCAAGAAAATGTCTGAGTTCTAAAAATTTTACATTTCTAAGAAATAAATCACATATTTTCCAGTCATTTTTTTTTTCATTTTCAGTGGCCCTAATTATGTAACGCATAAAGAAACAATAAGAAAGTATAAACTAATGTGCTTGAAACTGTCCATGCTCCTGCAGTTTCAAGTCTTTGATTCAAATAAAGTTCTTCACAGATCAACTGGAGTCAACCTGAATCAAACAAACATGGACTCTATTTGCAATGAGGTGACCTCTAAAGGCTACACTTGACAATTAAAGAGAAAAAAATAAGAATGTAAAAGTTTACAGGGCATAAACATGGCTGCATGGTTCTGTGAATAAGCAGAAATGAAACCCAAAAAGCAGCACAATAAATTTCCTGACTGAGGTGGAAACAGCTAAATCGACCAGCAGGTTTGGGGTCGGTGGCAGGAAGATGTCTGAGGAATGCTGAGAAAACTAAACGATGGGAAAAGACAAACATAAAAACTGAAATGTCACATCGGCCTCCACTATAAATAATTCATCACAGAGGAAGCAAATGTACAATTCATTTCTGACTGTGATGTCTGTGGGTTTGTGTCAGGGGAACAAAGAGATAAAGGATTTTTACAGAGGTAAGACCTTCATATTTTTAACTTGTGTTCCTATTTCTGTATCAAGTAGGAATTTTTGTTTTCAGCTTCCTGCCAAGTGTGACAAACTGTCTGATTTTCCACACCAACACATCCTACCTGTGTGTGTGTTCAGCAGACGGCTGTTCAGCTCCACCACCTCCTGGTATTGTTTCAGCTCCAGCATGCACTGGCTCAGGTTGAGGCTGAGCGGGAGACGCACTTTCTCCAGCGACTCCCAGTCCTCGCCGTGTTGATCCACCTGCTGATGACAGGCAGCGGACGGATGGACGGAGGCGGGCGCGGAGGTGATATACGGCAGAGGAAATGTTGAAAAGATTAAATCCAAACAAGAGAATGTGAGCACATATAGAAAAGGAAGGGAGGAAATGATGAAGACGATGACTGTAAGATGGAGCATTTGGGGACTGCAGGAGAAAGTTGCCGAAGGAGAGAGGCGTCTGTGGATGTCTGATATTTTTAGCTCCTCAGTTTCCCGGTGAACCAACGCTGCTCTTCAGGACAAAAACAAACCGAGCAGATCATCAGCAGCTATTCAAAGCCACAACAAGTCCTAAACCACTTCGTTCTTCACCTGAAATGTATTCAATGTCGAACTGCAAAAACACTAAATCTGCATCTGGGCTTTAATATGCTGAGATCTGAACCATCAGATTGTGGCTCCAGTTGTTTGTTCAATGCTAAAACACAAAACATTACACAGTATTTTTGGACTGGTTTCTAGTGCAACCATCTTAGTACACTTTAAAAAACACAAAACTAACTTACAAACAACTTTTCAACAAGATATCAGAGCTTGTTTTAAGTGATATTGATGAAAAATTACGTGTTTCATTCGCAGATTGTTTCACTTACAACATACAGAAAATAATAATTGACATAATCTGCCAGTGGAACCAGCACCTTGAGGAAATATTTACCTACAACAAGCTGCTATATCGTACTGAAAAAATACTTGTAAGTTAGTTTTGTCATAACATATTTGCACTAGAAATTAGACCAAAATTACTTGCCAATATTTTTTTTAGCAGGAATAATAAACTTGATAACATGTCTTGTATTGCGTACCTTGTTTTGTAAGAAGTCCACGTATCCCAAAGCCTCCTTGAACTTGGCGGAAGCGTCTGGGAAGCGTTGCTCTTTGATGAGGAAGTTTCCCTCGTTCTGCAGAAACATGACCAGCCGTAACATCTGCTGCCAGTCCTTCCCCTCCATCGTGTCCCAGGCCTGGAGCGCCGCTGCACAGCTGCTTTCTTCCTCCTTCTCTCCCTCACACGGCCCAACCTTTTCTTCTCCAGCTTCTCCTTCTTCAACACGTTTCATCTCAGATGAACCGGTTTTCTCTCCCGCTTCGCCACTTTCAAAGTCGCTTTCTTTCTTTTTTGTTTCTTCATCTTTCTCTTCATCTTGTTGCTCTTCCTCCTCGTGTTTACTGGTGCCCTCCCTTTTCTCCAGCATGTTCCAGTACTGCTCCTTCTCCGCCCAGTACTTCTCCTTCATGCGCTCCGACAACTCCTTCAGCTCTCGGCGGACAAGCGCAGTCAGAGTGATGTCCAGCTGGGCCACCGTACTGAAGTCTCTCCTGGCCTCCTTCTCGTTCCACACGGCAGCGTGAGCCTTGGCCCGCTTGTAGTAGCCCTTCACGCAGTCTGAGGAGCAGAAATTCAAGCAGTTTCTTAAATTATGGTTTCATTATTCATACAGAAGTAGAAATATGCTCTGTAGATGCTGAGTTTGCAATCTGGTAAACTGCAGCTTCAGCTTATATCTCTAACATGTCAAAATTGGATTTGCATGCATCTGAAATTAGGTGTTCATGTCATTCAGGCAAAATAACTTTAGCTCATTTTAGGTTTCTGGTAAATGCAGACAAAATAAAGACATATCTTGCTTTGTTTCTGTAAAACAAAACAACACAAGGGGAATCTGTATCATATGTAGAAGCACCATGAATGTGTTTTTAGATTTGCAGAAACATATTTAACTTTTTTACCCTTCGTTGACTAAACTAAGATGATAAGAAGCTTGCAACTTAAAAATAAATGATCAGTTTTCAACACCAGTTTGTAAAGAAACGCTGCATGGCAGTGCCTCTGTCTTCAGGCTAGATACACTCACTGATGCTTTTTCTGTTCCTCAGCATTTAATTTCTGTCTATGCTAAATTTTTATTCAGCCAACAGTTAAACAGATTTCACTGTCGCCGGCGGCAGAAACATTGCAGCGAGGCTGCCGTTTCCACAGAGCTGCTGCGCTGAGGGGACGAAACGAGAGACTTAAAATTCAGCAGACAACATGACACTGACGACAGGAGAAACAACAACACAGCACCAACTTAGAGGAGGATGAGAAGGTGATGAAAGGCTGTGGGGAAAAAAAAAAGCTGGAAAAACAGCAGGAAGACAGAAACCTGCAATAACAAGATTTAAACGTCATAAGGAGAGCAGTGGGGCTGTGGAGACGTTTTAAGCTTGACCAGTGGAGTTTGAAAACGCTCCTCTGTAAAACACATCTCAACATCACATTCTGTCAGGTTACAAACTTCAGTGTGTTTCACTGGGATTTGTATTTTTATAAGTGTTGTATATCTTTGGAGTAAAATTAAAATTACACAAATCTGTCTTTTATAGAAGAAGAAATATAAAATGTTCTGTTTGACGTAAACCGTGTTGGGGAAGAAGACGCGACTGAAAACACGAATCTGGCAGAGAAAAACATGATGCAGGTCAGAGTTTATAGGAGAATGGATGTTAAAAATAACGTCGGTCTGATAAATAAAACTGGGCCGATGTGAACAACCAATATTTATTTTTATCTGTTTCTGGTTGATTTTATTCCCCACAGGTGTGGAAATGGTAGTGAAATATATACAACATTGGTAAATATTGGTTATTGGCCATAACAGAAATATCAGTAGTTGATATAGATATCAGCCCACATGTCAAATCAAAGCATC